AGAAAGATAATCTCACCCCTTTTACAGCCGAAGGAGAACTGATTGATACATCTACTGCCATTCAGAAATCTAAGTATAAAATACCTGATTCCTCTACCAATAAGACCAAAATTCCAACTGTATCTGGTGTTGATATTAATGACTCTGATTCAGGTGGTTTAGATATATTTAATATATCATGCGTTGTTAATAAAACTACATTGCTTGATATTAGGACGCCTGTGAGTAATAAAGAAAATGTTGACCGTAATAACAATGGCATCAAAAAACTAAAAACAAAAGAGGCGCCTGTGACTATTTTGTCAGACGTTCGCGTTAATTATTCACTTGATGATTTAAAGCAAATAATTGGTACTAAGAGGCAAAACGTTCCTTCATGTTATCTCAAAAAAGACTATCCTGAAATGTTTGAACAATCAGCAACTGCACCAACAAAGAGGAAAAATTTTTTTGATAGTTCTAGTGAAAGTGAGTAGGAGTATTCTATTGTTGCTATTGATATTACACATGTTTTTTTTGTTTATATTTTGTAATATATACATTATTACTTATTTTTCTTTTAAGACTGCAATTATGGTTCGTTTGTTAACAGCTCTTGGTTAATCATACAATAATAAACAATCAAAACATAATATTTAAGTATATATATAAGTTGTCGTTTTTGTAACGACCCAGAGCTCGGGAGATGGTTACAACGATTGATTAGAACACGAGATTTTTTTTTATTTTGAAAGTACCTACCTAATAATATAATTTATTATTATTGGTTTGTAACTAGCAATAAATACTTTATGTAACTAATACAAAAGGAACAACAATTTACTAATAATAATTAAAGTTAACTAGGCATGAAAAAAGATCCTAGGTACCTACGCAAGTTTCGCGGCGCGGTCAGCCGGCAAAAAATGAAATGCGCTGGGCGAGGTCGTGAACTCCGCTCGACCAGCTGATTTCACACCCGCGCTCAGGTCCTTACAGCGTGTAAGGACGTTACGGAACTTGATGGCTGTGGCACGGTAATAATATCATACAGTATTCTATCTTCATACAAACGGTCGGAAAGCGAGTCATACCTACGCCACTCGAGTTCGATGTGCTCTCGGCGTGCACCCAGTCGCGGATGCACCGCCGCGCCGCAACGACGACCGAACGGTCTGAATTGTTTTTTATGCAGTTAGTCGTGCTTAAACGTGCGTTTTGTATTGTAAATATTTGATTTAATTAAGTAGATACCTACATAATTTAGTATGGAAAAGAACAAACGACGATCAATATCGTACAACAGCACAATTGCTGTTTTTGGTTGCTTGAACTCTTCAATAACACACCCAGAGATATCATTTTTTAAATTACCTGAAATATTGGAAAGTTGTCTTACCTTTATAGAATATTTTTATATACCTATCTACTAGTACGTTATTTGTTTCTAATATTTAGGTATTTCGGTTTTTCCATCGGGCAAAATATCTGGAATAATATATAAATATGTAAGTGGTTAGGATGAAAAAAGAGACAAACGAGTAATCTACCTACACTCGCGTTAAAAACAAAACTACATAAAATACTGTAGGCGGGCGGCCCTACCGCGTGCCAACGCAGCGCTCGGTGTAGGCATTTATTTTCAAGGACAGGGCGGAGTCACAATACTGTATAGATAATATTACCGTGGCTGTGGTTGTCTTTAATTATTATTATTATTGTTAAAACTAAAAAAAAAATATTACTTAAAAAATATATATATATATATTCCTAGAGATCTACTCAATCGTTATAACCTGAGCTCTGGGCAGTTACAAAAACGACACCTAGTATGTATATTATAATAATATATTATAATAGGTATCAGGTACATAACACATATAAGTTCCTATAATTTAATTAAGATTTTTTTAATATTGGGTAATATGATTGTTAAAAGACGTCGTCGAGAAATTAATGTCTTATGCCCTTGACTTTTTATATAACAATGTTGGTTATATTTTGAGAATGTAAGAGTTAATTAGGTATGTGTTATTGTATATGTGAATTGTAAATTCTATTCTAGTCTTCTGAGACTAAATCAGTAAGTACCAATGTGAGAATCTCTTTTTTTATTAATTAAACAAATCATAAAAATACATTGTGTTTTATTGTGCTTTTGTGTGTTCGATCAATTAAGTTAGCTAAATAATTATCCTTTATTAAGTGAACTGTGAAAAGACCCTAAGTTTTCATCTTTGTTACCTTTTTGTTACGAATTTCATTTTTGTTATGGTTTCATTTTGGTTTCATTTTTGTCACAATGGTCATTTTAAATGGTTTTCACCCTAGTATCTAAGTAGTCGGTGGGAAAAGAACCCTGCTTTCTCGAGGTCCCAGGATTGTGCAGGATTTTTAAGTAACTTGTAAACTAAAGAAAATTTTACTAGAAAAAAATCCACGCGGACTATGCAGCAGACAGAGGCGGATGGATAATCCGCCTCTGTAAGGCAAACTAGGCACGTGCCTAGGGGCGCGAGGTTACAAGGGAGCGCGCGGGCAGAATTGTAAAATAAAGAAAAAAAAATTGCATAAAAGAAATTGGTCCAGTAAGTAAGCCACCTAATTACATAATAAAAACTATTATTTTTGCTAACAAACTCAATTTGCCACAATTTATAACAAATGATAAATTTAACGGATGGGACCGACTAATACTTACGCCTACAAACAACCTTGTTAATGGTACATGATCTCTGATTATAGATGGAAAGATACGACTGCAATCTTTGTCGCATCGACCGGATCGGTTTCGGTCAAACTATAGTACCTATGAGTTATTTTTAATATAGAGGCGCCGATGAGATGCTTACTTATGGCGCTCTTAACGTTTAATCCGTCACTGGCAGCAGAAGTGACGCGAACCCGCACCCTTCGCTATCCTGGCGAATGCACTGATCATTATGCTACCGCGGCCCTGATGGGCGTGTAAAATTCTTCTCTAGCATTTCATAAGCTGCAATGCAGCGCCGTCTCAGCAGCCGGATAGCGAAGGGTACAGGTTCGCATCCCGTCTGCTGCCAAATCCGAGTGGATTTTTTCTAGTATAATTTTCTTTACATTTAAACATCTAGCATTCAAATGCTTAATAAAACAATAATATAACTTATTAACTGTTTAGTCTAGTCCCATTATTTCCATAGTTTTTTGATAAAAAAAAACAATATGAAATAAGCAGTGCCCTCGTCCATTTGGACTTGGGTCTTGTTTCTGTTCTTCTTATCTGTTTTATTGTGTGTTTACTAAATTAGTTACTAAAGGGACAATGAAAAACAGTTCTCCCTCGTGGCTCGTGGTCCCATTAATGGGACAATATCCAAGGATCACGGGAAAACAGCGAAAATTAAGTTGCGTCGCGCGAAACAGCCCACCACGATACTTTAATTGCTCAAAATAATTGATGACATGACCAAATCAGTGGTTCGTTTGTCGTATGCTAATTTATTTTAATGCGAAGCCTCTTTCTTGCAGCTTCAAAGACGTATTTATTTATTTATTTAATAACTTAGTACACACACAATTAAACAGTTGAACAGGAATAAGAAATTTGTACAAGGGCACTGCTTACTTCACATTGAAATTTCTTCCAGCAGGCTCGAGAAAGGAAAAACCATAAAAAAAAAGGCTCTTCAGTGTGTACCTCCTGAATATAAATAACAAAATACAATACTTACATAAACAAAACCTACTGAGTAGGTAACGATATTTATATATTTTTAACGAACTTCGTTTTAGCGAACTTCGTATCGTCATAATATATGGGTGGTAGAAGGGTGAAAATTTACAGCTGTATGTATTTTTAATGGCACATTATAAGTGAATAAAAAAAACAAAATCTAATAAAAATTTAGGGGTGGACAACCCTTATGACTTAGGGGTATGAAAAATAGATAGTAGCCGATTCTCAGACCTAGTGAATATGCATATAAAGTTTCATAAAAATCGGTCAGGCCGTTTCGGAGGAGTATGGTAACTAACATTGTGACACGAGAATTTTATATGTAAGACAAAACGGTATTTATTAATGAGTAGGTAACGAATGCATGTTAACTTAACAGTTAGCTACAATACCGTTGGTAATTAAGCAAACGTAAGTTCTAACTAAGCATACATGTGGCGTATTATCCTTATTTTGTAAATTGTACGCCATAAATAAATTATTACCTACTTTGATAAACAAAGTTGCTCAAATAAAACGTACATATAGGTACTCGTAAGTACATAAAATAAAACGGACATAGAATTTGGAAAGACATAATTTCAATGCAGTCATCATAAATGATTAATTGATTACTTTTTTAATCACAAAGGGTGAAAACGGGACTCTATTACTTAGACGCCAATATCCCCGAATGTTGTATAGATACGGGAATTCTTTGAACACGAGTCCGACTCGCACTTGACCGGCTTTTTTGTTACGATAGATACTTTTAAAACTAATTAGGTAGGTAATACTTGAATGAAATGAAAAGGAGATACTGCTGTTAAACAAAGTTGCAAAACAGCAATTAAGTCTAGCCAATTAGCCATGCCATGTAAGTGGCAACTTAACGGAATCTTTGAGCATAATACAACCTGTAAAACTTAAAACTTTATTTTATTTTTTATTGTACCTAATAGCGTTTCAATTTAAAGTTTCTGTATGTAGGTAGGAAAGTATGATTTAATATTTAAATCAAGCACCACTGCTTTTCTATTTAAACTTTTTATATCTATCCTTTTCTAAACTTTGTTAATAACTAATTTTATTTTGAAATTTTCCGACTGAGATAGCAAATCCAGTTTGGATCAGACATCGTGTCGACCCTCTCGACCTCATAAAGTATGAAAAAAAGCAGGTCCATTTCATTTTAGAAAAATAAATCTCAATATCTAAAAAAATAACAACGAATATTCTTTTCATATCGGCTTATGTTAAAATAGGCAAAGGTATTAAGTACTTTTAGGCCTTAAATTATTTCATAATGCAAACAATAACATACCGCCATCCTATACGGTGTTGTGTGTGGTCGTTTCCTTCCGAGTATTTCCAAACAAACTTTCTTGGCAGCCACCCACAAAGTTGAACTTGCGTCAACTACGATTTTTATTTTTACACACTGTATTATAAAATCACTTTTACTCGTTTAAAAATAAAACTTGATTCACATTACACCACGTTTTCACACACGTCACAATAAGTCATTCATTCATTGTTCTTTTTTTCTGCGTAAAATTGAACGTCTAGTGTGGCGGACGCTCGTAGACGCGAGCGCTTCCGTCGATTTGAAATTCGAAAATAGTTTAAAAATTTTATAAAGGCACGCTTGGAGTGACGCGGCGACCGGCAAGCGTGCGAGAACGGTTGTTTGTCTAATGACGTCACGTTTGAAACCGGTTAATGTGGAATCTGTGGAATCTTAGAGCGCTAAAGCGCTTTGTTAACAGCAGTAAATTTTGTGGTCACTTTCGTTATTATCTGCATTTTTTGCTTTTAAAGTCTTACGTGCTATACACTTATTAGCTGTGTTTTTGTAAAAACGGAATCAATGAATTCCGTTTGTTAACACACCTGGGTAGCAAGCGACCCGATATGCTAAATTGTTAAGTGCAGTTAAGGACATTGTACTTTGTTAGTTGTTGCAAAATAAATGTTACAATGACAATGCAAACACCTATTCTGAGTTTAAATTGAGTAGAAACAAAAATATTATTAGAGAGCATTTTTCCTTTCCGTCATTACTTTAATTTAGGAAAGAAATAATATCTCTAAGTAATGTGACACTGAAATTTTTTTGAAGTAGAAAATGAAAGAATCTCCATGGTCTAGGTCACGTCGGTCCAACTGCAGATTGCATTGCATTGTCTCGATCATACTGGTCCCACTACAATCTGCGTTGACTCGATCATGCCGGTCCCACTGCAATTTGCGTGGACTCGGTCATAGCGGTCCCACTGCAATCTGCATTGACTCGATCATGCCGGTCCCACTGCAATCTGCGTGGACTTGGTCATGCCGGTCCCACTGCAATCTGCATTGACTCGGTCATTCTGGTCCAGTGGTCCCACTGCAATTTGCGTGGACTCGGTCATAGCGGTCTCACTGCAATCTGCATTGACTCGGTCATGCCGGTCCCACTGCAATCTGCATTGACTCGATCATGCCGGTCCCACTGTAATCTGCGTGGACTCGGTCATGCCGGTCCCAATGCAATCTGCATTGACTCGGTCATTCTGGTCCGGCGGTCCCGTTGCAATTTGCGTGGACTCGGTCATAGCGGCCCCACTGCAATCTGCATTGACTCGATCATGCCGGACCCACTGTAATCTGCGTGGACTCGGTCATAGCGGTCCCACTGCAATCTGCATTGACTCGGTCATTCTGGTCCAATGGTCCCACTGCAATTTGCATGGACTCGCTCATAGCGATCCCATTGCAATCTGCATTGACTCGGTCATGTCGGTCTAACTGCAATTTGCGTGGACTCGGTCATAGCGGTCCCACTGCAATCTGCATTGACTGAGTCATGCCGGTCCCACTGCAATCTGCATTGACTCGGTCATTCTGGTCCAATGGTCCCACTGCAATTTGCATGGACTCGCTCATAGCGATCCCATTGCAATCTGCATTGACTCGGTCATGTCAGTCTCACTGCAATTTGCGTGGACTCGGTCATAGCGGTCCCACTGCATTCTGCATTGACTCGATCATGCCGATCCCACTGCAATAGGATGCTGCCAATTTTTTTTCAGACATTTTTATATACATACTAGCAGTTAAATGCATAAAAAACGAGCGAGCCTTACAGTAGTCGCGTATGATGTGTAACATTTGAAACCTCACCTTATATTAGTAAAGAAAGAAATAAAACCTACTACAAAGGGAATAAGCCATTTGAACATTATGTTCTAAAATCAAATCAAATAGCGCTCGCTTTCGCGACTTCCTGTTACACACTTCAGTCCCATTTCACGAAATCACACCCACAAATTGCAGGAAAGCGAGAGGAAAGATGTTACACATCAAAAATCAAAACATGATGATCTCTAAATCTTACTTAATATCTTTTCGACTAGAAGTTCAACGTATCCCAGACAAATATATTATTTTTATAGAAAATAATATTGTATTACATGATGATAAGTCAAGGTTAGTCAGTGTACCTGCAGTCAATTCACTGACCGACACAAGTATTATCTTGTAATTCAATATTATTTTCTTTATAAAGCGATGCATTCGCTTAAATATCACAAAACAACGTAGAGGTGTGCGAGAGGGCTTGCCGTGACGTCACCTTCGTGTGAGTAAGGCGCTTTGCAGACGACGGGGCGGCGGGGCGGGCCGGTCAATTTCGCCGCGAATAATAGCACAAAGTCAATCCTATACTTCAAACGCACACAGAGGGCAAAAAGACCGCGCCGCAGGTGCCCGTCGGGCAGTGGCGGCACGGCATGTCCGCGGCTGCCCGCCGTGGATCATACAAACCAGACGGCGGCGCGGAGCGGCTAGCTCAGTCCGCGCCACGCGCTTTTTAGTATGGACTATTCACTAGAACGAACGTCCTGAACTGACCGCCTCTGCCCGTCGTGTGCTTTGTGTACGCGGCGCGGGCAGCCGCAGACATTGACGGGCAGACGCGGTCTTTATTGCTTCGCGGACAAAAAGCCCGCCCCGCCCCGTCGTCTGCTAAGCGCCCAAGGAGACGACAGACGACCATTATAAATTGACCTTTAGCATTCTAAGATACTTCACTAGGACTTCCAATGGCAAAAGCTCAGTTTAAACAAGTTAGAATGTGGTCTTACCGTTCTCTAGCCAGTGTAAATTGAACTCTATATCTTAGTGACAATTTCAAGATAATCTTAGAAAGAATGGGAGCTCCCAGTTCTTGTTACATTTGTTTACGATTGTAGTTTTACTGTTCTTTTGAATTTCGAGTTTCTGTGAAGTGAACTCGATGAGGAGAGCTCGCTGGCGCGGGTGGTTAGCGCGTTCGGCTGCGATCGTTGAAGTTAAGCAACTTTCGCATTGGATGGGTGACCAAAAATCTTCTATCTCGAGTTCCTCCGTGCTTCGGAAGGCACGTTAAGCCGTTGGTCCCGGCTGCATCTGCAATCGTTAGTACCCACCAACCAATACGCACTGGGCCCGCGTGGTGGGTCATGGCCCAATCTCCCTATTCCATCCATAGGGAAGGTCTGTGCCCCAGCAGTGGGGACATTAATAGGCTGGATGATGATGATGTGAAGTGAACACAATAGAAGTGTGTACTTTTTATAGTGGCAGTAAATTACGACATAACAACAATGTTATCTTTAAATAGTAATAATAATGAATAAGCATGGACCAATATTATATAAGTTGATTTGACCCGTCGCCGACGATAAACGAGTAAAACTAGGAACGAGCAGCGTGAAGCATGTGTGTAGTTCCGATAGTTTTATCGCTGGACTATAAGCGAGTGTGCGATTGCCTCTAAGGCAGTTCTGTTGTTCCCCCGCTGGCAAAGAAGCGACTAACCATCTAGTGTTTTCTGGCTCAAGAAACGTAAAATAAATACTTATATCTTCAATCCATCCAACTCCGTTCCGTTTTCAAACAAAAAAGATGCTTAAAATTAATACTTCAACGCTGACTGTTCACACTGCCGCCATCGACAGCGAGAACTCCCTCAACATGTCCCCTCTCCCACGGTACCAATGTTAGACCATCAGGCTGTTTTTTATCTATGCGGCTGAGGCCTGGTGGTTCGAGGACGGAAGGAGCGCCGGCCGACCTATAAGAGCTCTCAACACTATGGGTATATTCCGTAATATATGCCAGTATACTGGCCAGTGCTAATGACGTCATGGATCGACGCTATACTGGCAAAGCGGTGACACTCTCTGTACGTGAGAGTTCCAGCGTCAGTGACCTTGAGCAGGAGCGTGTATACGCTAGGGTTGAACTTGGAATTTAGACTTGTGCCAAAGAATATTTATGCATAATAAGTTATTAAATGTAAACTGATTCAAGGATACTGGGGTAAATAATGAAGGATAGGTTTGATTTTATAATCAATTTTTAATCTTTTAATGTAGGTACTATAACAAATTGCTAACTTTTATATATTTTCTCCTTTTTCGATTCGTTTTATAATTCTTATTATTATCTAAATAATATTAAGATTGCGTAGCGTAGTCAGTCTGTGCGTGCAATGCAGTGCAACGCTATTATTTTACTATTTCGCTACTGCCATCCCTTCGGTCGAGGCAGTCGGCGACTGCCCTCTCCACGCCCCGCGCGCCGCGCAACGCCCCCGCAGACCTCCAGACACCCACACATAGCCGCGGGCGATTTTACGAGCACACATGCATAAGTGTCGCTTCTTTTCGAGTAGTGTATATATTCTGTGATACTGGTGAATTATTCCGAATTGACCAGTGCACTGACGTCAAAAATCGACAAAATATTAAAAATAGCGCGAATAAAGAAGATTTTTGATCCACCTCATCAATTAAAAGGAATTCTTTTTGTTCGGATGCCATTATTGTTCTTTAAATAAAAAAGAAATAAAATTCGAATGCATTTCACGCACGCTCGGTCATACTTCATATTCGTTTTCCCGGTAAAAATTTGGTAGCATATCAGTACAATATGGCGTCGGATTCGTGATGTCAATTCCACTGGCCAGTATGCTGATGTTTATTTCGGAATACACCCTGTCAGGTCGTTGAGAGCATGGTGACGTGAGTGTCTGCCTGTAAAAAAATTTAATAATAATAAATGTTGTAGTTTCAATTTTAAACTTTGGAATTCTAACATAAGATATCAGGAACAAATGCTAATTGAGACAGTATCATTAAGATTCTCTTTCATATCAATGCTTCAAATCAAAAGATAAACTTTGAAGTTAAAAATAAACAGATTTATGGAATTAGAAACCTAATGATAATGCTTAATCAAATTAATCACATAAACTTGAGTATCAACGTGTGAACTTAAAGTCTAGCAATAACCTACTTTTCGAGTATGTCCATATTTTCATCAAAACAGTAATAGCTACTACGTCTACCTTTTTCCTGCAATTTCGGTGTGGGTAAAATTTTGTTCGGTGAACAACATACTTGTTAGATTTCTTCAATAGAAAATTTAATTTCTCAGATATTTGAAAAACCTAAAATGTTCACCTCTTTGATTTTGACCCACCTAATTAAATTAACTTAAACTTAACTTTTAATTAAAAAATAACGCAAAAGTTTAACGTTTTGAGTCAGGTAACGCCACAGGGCCAAAAATAACCCATCACATCAAAGCCCGTCACACTTAGAATGCTGTAAGCCGTCATAACACGTAAAATAAGTTCACCTCGGGATGATAATCCTTTAAACAAAAAAGTAATTTTGAAAATCAGATCACTATTCACGAAAATATCGCTCCAAACTGCCTGCAATTGCCGTGCCCCAACGGCCCTAACATACACAAAAAACAATACATACACGACGAACAGAATCTCTTCCCTGTATATTTGCAGTTTGTTAAAAATTTAAGTACTCACCAACTTTATTTTGGCTGCATAGAACTTGATCGATTGCATTCAAAATATTGAGAGAATTTAAAAAAATAAAATTTCAGAATGTTGCCAGCTGCAAGAAAATTCCTTGATAAATGGGATATTCAGACAAGGTGGAATCTATGTAGAAAGCTGATGGTATAAAACTTCACGTGGCTGTTGGACTTCGAATATGCTATTTTTAATTGTGACAGTAGTATATATTTATCATGCTCTATATTATATACATAAATATTTCCAACACTCACACCAATTAGCCTAGCCCCAAAGTAAGCCTACAGGCTTGTGTTAAGGGAGACTAGGGGAACGAATAGAATACATATACCGATAAATATATAAGTATATTTCTATAGTAATACAAATTAAATATCCATGACTGGGGTACGAAAATGCTTGTATTCATCACACACAACATCTGACCTCCCCACCCTACTTATTCGAACCCGGGACCTCTCGAGTAGGCGACACCTTGAAACCCAGCGGACAAAATACTCAGCCACGGAGGTTATCAAATGAAAGAGAGAAACATCTGACAATTTTATATGTGGCTAATATGTACATATTGTTTTTCGTGAAAGGCCAGCATGAAACATTTTATTGATGTAGGCTAACGAAATTATCTAGCCACACCCAGTATACCAAGTCTACTTCTAAAATAATAGCAAATATTAATTTTTGCTTAATCATTTCGTGTTTGAATTAATTAAAAATGTGTATAATTTTTATCTGTCAAAGGAGTTGATTCTGACATATTTTTTTAATATTTACTTAATAAAGTAAATATTTTGTAATATATCTATTCATTCAAAAAGAAGAAAAGTGACATGCCTACAATAATAAATAGACCTGAGTTTCCTTTCACTACTTGGGTTACCTTGGCAAGTAGAGATAAAGGCAACGACAAAAAAATATTAAGATTATTTTTTGTTGTTATGAAAGTTGTCTTATTTTGTAAACAAAAGATTTTCACTTTTTATAATTTTTAATTTAAGCAATGTTGCTAGCCAACTCATGCTCAGTTTTTTTTACTAGTATAATGGTACGAAACCTTTTGTGTATGAAATAGACTCACAGTTATAGCAGGGTTTTACAGTAATATTAATTTATTTCGGAAACATAATATCATAATAGTAGTTAAGGACAAAAGGGATTAGGGTTTTTGGATCTGTCATTTAATGTTATACAGGGTTGCCCGGTCTCCCGATTTTACAGGAGATGTTCTGTTTTTCTGCAATTTCTACCTTTCTTCTGATTTTCTACATGAATGTACTGTTTTTCTTAGAATACGATTTACTTTTTTAAATTACATGTAGAGTTGCGTTTTTCGCTATTAACAATGTAGTGGTGCAATTTGGAAAAGTACGTATCTGCATCTACTGTTTTTTCCTTTAGCTCTTTCCATACATCTACTTCTTTTTTCTATAACGCCTCCCGATTTTTGAAAATTAGACCTGGTAACACTGATGTCATCTGTTAATTACCAAAACAAGTGCAAGTTCGATTTTATTGCAAAACTTAATTAATTTAAAAATTCAATGGATGACCATATTTGCCAAACATGTCTATGCAAAGATCGGCGGATAATCCCATTGATGAATGCTCGTCATTTAATCCAGGAAATGAATTTATTTGATGTAAGTAAAGGATTTGCTAGATACATAAATAAACATACGTTATCTCTAGTTGTTTTAGCTGTAGAAATTTAATATATCCTGGACCCTCGTGGTAGGTTCCATTCTCCGTTTAAGATTTTGCTATCATAAAAAGTGACTGACCAGCTAGCTTTTGTAAACAAATCCAATCTAAGCATAATAATATAGATCAGATATCTTTGCGTACTACATTAACATACCAGTAAACATTCATAATTTATATGTTGTATTAATATAGGGCTGCCATCCGTCCGAGTTTCCCCGGATTTGTCCTAGTTTATGGGGCGTCTGGGGAGCATCCGGGCGGGGTTTTATTTGTAGTCCGGGTTTAAAAATTTACGGCAACGCATGAGTGGCCCTAGGTGCTGCAAGTGTCCGTGGGCAGCAGTGACCACTTATTATGAGGTAGACCGCTAGCTCTTTTGCCTAGATCAAAATAAAAAAGTTGATTAGTGACATTTTTAACTGTTTTTTTATTGGTCTGTCCGGGTTCTGGGCTTCAAAATCCCGGGTTATCACGCGTCTTATCCTGGTTGCCACATTTTAGAGATGGCAGCCCTATATTAATACATACCATAAAATTTATTTATTTAATATTTGGTACACATCTAGGAAGCATTTCAAAGTATAAGCAAACTTTTTCTTCATCACTATGGCCAAAGGTTCAAAGATCTGACTAGAAAGAGATTTACGCTGCACTCCTTAATTTCACCTCCTTATTCATTGTTAGGATTTGTCCACATGCTGGCAAGGCTTACTTTTGTTCATTCTAGATTTGTAATTTATCTTACTGATGACACTTGTACTGCACCAATCACATATCTGGAGTAAGTTCCAGTTTTATTTGAGTTATTGACTTAATATTGTTGGATAGTTTACATAAGTAGTGTTAATGTGAGGGCCATCAAGGAGTCACTGCCAGTCAACACATATAATGTTCTCTCTGTACATCACTGCGTTTGCTTGCTGAATATGCAATCCAAACAGGGGCCTCCACTCCTTCTTTGTCCCCAGGTCCCCAATCTAAACCCGGCCCTGACTAAAGACATTGAAGTTAAGTTAAAGGTGACTTCATGAATCATCTCTGAAGTAATTTTGTCAACTTGACGACTCTGTAAATGATAAATCAGGGAGAAAAAAACAGCCCTTGCTGAGTTTCTTGCTGGTTCTTCTCAGTACAAGGTCTAGATTTACGAACTGATGGTGTAGCTTCTGGACATTCATGAGTGCTTGTAACAGCCTAAACTGAATAAATGATTTTGATTATGATTAAAGTATGAGATGCATTAAAAACATTTTGAATTCTATTTTCATTATTTCATTTCCAGATAACACAGGTAACAGGTGGGGTCTGTTGGGAGTGCCATAAAATTATGAAAAAATTTGTCAATTTCAAATCGCAAGTAAGATTAGCTCAAGAATCATTGAAATTGAAGGTATAAAATATTTCTATTACTTGAATTTGTATTTTCCAAATACAGGCAGTCCTCGACTTACGATGTTTCAAGTTAAGTCGAACAATGTTTCGACACTATTCCTCAAACATACGTCAATTGTTTCGATTTCCGGCATAGGGGCATTCACTTGTCGCGAGGTCAATATTCGTGGGACCGTGGGGCGCGGTGTCGGCGAGCGGGAATTACCCCGCACATGCTCCTGCTTTTGTTTAGTTAGTTTAGGGAGAACGGACAATCAAGACGTAATACATTAGTTTTTTTTGCATCTTTGTCGGTTTTTGTTTTTACATAGATATTTAAGCGAATTTTAATCTAAATAAGACATTTTGAGTCCTTGGATGGATGGATCCTAACCCTTGAGTTTTACATGTATAACTTAAATAAAAATGTAAATGTAATGTAATAATATGAAAAAATATGTCTCGTCTTACGTCGTTTCGATTTACGTCGCGTATTTCGAGAACTTTACATGTCGTAACTGCGAGGTCTGTCTGTAATTATTTTGACTGTCATGGTCATGGGGAAGTTGGCAGAAGAAAAATAGAGATGATGACTAAGTTTTTTCTTCGTCCATCAAGTAAAATATCAATAGTTATTGGACACATATTTTACTTTATACACATAATCAAAAAAAATCAGAGATGTATTGATTTGAAATATTGCATGATGTTATGACTAATTTTTACTCAGAAGTGACATCACTTGCCCATACGACGAGCACCCATTTTCAAACTTTGATGCGCTGTACCTTTGTATTATTTCACTTGGTTTACAGAAGAAATAATAACTTTCGATAACTTTTAACAGGCTAAATAGAATTTTATGCACTTCATACCTTGTCATCATCCCTAATATCTTAAAATGTCGGCATGTTATGAAGATCACTTTATGATAATCAGTATGTTTCAGAAGGAACCCAACAAATGTTTAAGCCAGTTAGGTGTGCAGTCAAAATCTATTGACTATCATTTCTATTTTAACTTCGATCCATTAACATCTTTTGAAGAAAATACTTTAGTAAATATAATTAAAGAAGAGAATTCAGATAGCGAAAACAACTTTGAGGAAGAAAAATCTGGTGGAGATATATTTGAAAAAAAGCCAGACTTTGATAATGGTTGTATAAATGTATATGTTGATTCATTTGAATTCAAACCCAATGTTATAAGTAAATACAGTTCTGAACTTTGCAAAACAAATGATGATGAAACTTCAGACCTGTCAGATAGAAACATTGTCCCAAAAATAGATAATTCACCCACCAAAACCGTGGTAAGGAAGAAAGTTAAAATAAATTATAAAGAAAAGAGGAAAAAGAAATCTGTTAAAACATATAAAATGCAAGGGAAACACAATCAAAAGGAAATAAGAAATAAATTCACAAAAATAGTTTTTACTGTAGAAGAAATGTTAAGGGATAGAGAAGAAAAAAGAACAAGGCCAAATTTTAAAAAGATACCATTTAAATGTGATAGTTGCTTGATTGGGTTTACAACACTTGAAAAATTTGATGATCATATAGAGAAGAAACACAAGGAAGTATGTCATACAATATTGTCAAATGCCCAACTAGAGAATTCCAAAATCAATGGTACTTATTTGTGGAAAGAATATATCTAGTAAATTCAGTCTATCTATCTAATGCATTTTGTGGGGCTTAGCAGCAGTTGAGAACAAACTTTAATATTATAAATTGTAATGTTGTCTCCTTAAATATGCCATTTTTTACTTTTCTATTTGCTTCAATTACTACTTAATGATGTGAACATAATAAAGATACATACAATTAAATTTTCCTTGGCTACACATTTTTTGAATTTTTCAGAATATTGGGTCTCTTATATGTGATGTGTGTAAAGTGAGGTTTCCCCATAAGAATAGTTTAGAGAGGCACTGTCAAAAACATTTCACATTTTATAGATGTAAATTCTGCAAGTTCAAAAGTGTGGAACTTTGGCAAGCTTACAGCCACTGCAAAAGCAGACACAGTGCTGACGATCTCAACAAAATTCATTGTCAGCAGTGCACTGCAGTTGTTAGGTAGGTTTATTCATTGTTCATTCATTATACACTAGTGACTGCCCGTGATATCGTCCGTTTTAGCTTTACTTTTTTGAAAATTCTACTGGAACCTATTTTTTCCGGGATAAAAAGTATCCTATATCTCAATCCAAGTTCTAAACTATTTGCGTACCAGATTTCATCCAAATCCGTTCAATAGTTTTTGAATGATTGAGTTTCAAACTTACAAACTTTTTCATTTATAATATTAGAAAATAATGGAACGCTTTCATAGTTAATTCTTAATGCTGTAAAGTTAGCTGCTGATGTTTTTATTTAGGAATACAATTTAATTAAAAATAATCTATATTAAATTAATCTTGAAAGTGTCATTCATGGTATCTGATAATATTCGTAATCGAAATTTCAGGACTCCAGAAGAATTGGATGAACATACGAGAACACAGCATGTGCTCTATTGTAATGAATGTGGTGAGAAATTTAAAAAGAAATCAACTTTGAGGACGCATAAAATGTAAGTGTTATATGTATATCCTGTTTAATAATATTTTGTGCTCTTAAGTTATCGTAATGAGTCTTCAGCTTGTATCTATAGTTGTATTATTGAGTTATTGCTTGCTTTAAATATTTTATTCAGTTAAATGGTTTCTAAAAATATAAAATTCCACCCAAAAAAAACACCTAAGCGTATCTATGTGTATTATGTGCCTAAAAATTTACGCAAAATCGTCAACCAATGTTTGTTTTGATTTAATTTCCTATTATTCAAGAGAGTTAGAATTTTCTGAGGCATTCGACTTTATCAAATACCAGCTGGTACCAAATGATCACAATCACAATAAATTATATGTACGTAACTTTAAAAGTATAAGCTCGGTTCTATAACTCAATAATTAACTTAACAAAGTAATGTTATATAAACAGGTGTACCGCAATGTGTTGTGTTGTATCCATTTTTATTTTTAACACACCTTGAGACACTTTCTTTCATTCTGAAGTTAAGCTTAATTAGCTTTGCTAATTTAAATTTATAGTAGATCATTCATCTGCATCAATTTCACGAATAGGTAGATGTGCCACAGGGCCTATATTTGGGTCCATGTTTATATTAAACATGCAACATGCTTCACACTTATGTTCTCCACATGATTAACCTTCTTATATATACTATTTTCATTCAAATGGCCAACAGAAGGATTCATGGTGTGAAGAGAGAATTTGTATGCGATATCTGTAACAAGAGTTTTATGACGGCTTCCCGTTTGGAGACTCACGCTGCCAATCACAACGATACTTTGGCACAGCAATTGTCTTATTGCTCTATATGCAAAATTCAATATAAGAGTGTACATGTATACAGAAGTCATATGAGGCAAAGCGCGGCGCATGCGTCGGATCAGTAAGTCTCTTTCTGAAAATGAAAAATATTTCTTAAAAAAAAAAAGCAAGTGTGCTTATGACCACACGACTGAAGTGAAACTTCTTTAGCTCCAATGATCTGAAAATCATAAACTTAACCTGAAGATTTGTTGATAGAAAAAAAGACCACCAATCCGCGCTGGGTCCGTTATCACCCACCAATCCGCGCTGGGTCCGTTATCACCCTCCAATCCGCACTGAGTCCATTATCACCCACCAATACGCGCTGGGCCCGTTATCACCCACCAATCCGCGCCGAGTCCGTTATCACCTACCAATCCGCACTGGGTCCATTATTGTCTACCAATCCGCACTGGGTTCATTGTCACCCACCAATCCGCGATGGGTCCGTTATCACCCACTAAGCACTAGATTCATGTATTTTGTGACGTGTTCATACATGTTCATTGTTTACCGATGAGTCACCGGTGACACTAATCGTAACGCAAAAATCGTAACATATTCGCCAGTTTACCCCCCAAGTCAAGCGTGCCTAAAGAAGTTTCACTTCAAAAAGGAATAACAAAACAGTTGTTACCTTACCATTAAGTGCGTAATACATCTGTGGCCAGAAGAAGTCGCACTTCCTTAAGATTTAAGTTTTAAAATATGATAAACTTAAGCGTTAGTTAATCTAATTTTAAATCATCACGTGGGGCAGAGGCCTACCCTATGGATGAAATAGGTAGTTTGGGCCATGACCCACCACCAGAGCCCAATGCGGATTGGTGGGTGCTAATGACTGCAGATGCAGCCGGGGCCAACGGCTTAACGTGCCTTCCGCAGCACGGAGGAGCTGAAGATAGTAAAATTTTTGGTCATCCATCCAATGACCGACCACTGCGAAAATTGCTTCACTTTAACGATCGCAGCCGATCGTTTATTCAGTTAAGGCAGTCACCAGCACCTATGAATCTTAATTTACGCCATCGGTTCGCAAATCTACGGCGAGAGACCTTGTACTGAGAATAACCGGCAAGAAACTCAGTATGAGCTGTCATTTTTTTCTCTGTATTATAATTTAATATACAGAGTGCCGAGACCAACGGCTTAACATGCCTTCCGAAGCATGGAGGAGCTCGAGATGATGAGTTTTTGGTCACCCATCCTATGACCGGCCATTGTAAAAGTTAATCGTTAAGATCAGGACTCCACGGGGTAGGGGATTGGGTTAGGGTAGACAACGGTACGATTGATATTTTTTGTATCGCAAGCTTAGATTAAAACTTTTTGTTAGAAGAAGTTTGGGAAGATACGGAGATCGCGGCTCAAAAGTGATTCGCTTAAATTGTGGTGCATGACCACAATTCGCTGTAATCACAATTATACATTCAAACACGCTGCATGTGCACTCAATATAACAAAAAAGTATATTCTGTGTTATAAATATAAAACAATGTCTTCGATGCATTTATAAAGAACACAAATAGTTCAAGATCAAATAACAAATGCCACGGCAACACTTTCATTCGTAAAACTGTAAATTTTTTTTTTTCTCAAAAATCACGGATTGCCCTGAATGTTAGTTATTGATTCGCCAATTTTTTTATCAAGAAAATTACAATAATACAGCTCAGCCGTCTATAGAGAGAGAAAAGTAAACGCAGTCGGCTGCAAAGCGACGACGCGGACTCGTGCCGTTTCGCTCGCGCTGCGTTAAAGCGTTCAATATGGTATTTTCCATTTTTTTAAAACTGCTTATATTTAAAGATTGGGACAAACTGTTTAACAGAATAATAAAAATAAATAAATTAATGTCTTTTTTTCTCCATTAAGCCAATTAAAGTTGAATTTATTTTTAATGGTTTTGAATTTACCGCCAAAACGCTCGTCTACGTCTACGACGTCTACTGTGTGACGTCAACTTTGTGCATACAACGTTAATTGTAAAAGGTTCACATAACCTAAAAAATTATTATTTAGATAAATAGCTATGGAATCATCTGAAGGTCAAATTGTTTACTTTTTTTACGTGCGGGATTTTATAGTATAATCCGTACACAAATTTTTTCATGTTTCGAAACTCTAAAGCACAGAAGTCAAGAAATTTGCAACCATAAAAACATATACTGCAAGAAGATTTGCACTGTCGGCTTTCAGAAACCCGACTTCCATTGTGGAAAATAAGTAAAATCGAAATACTCTAACAAAGAAATCGTGAAATAATTACTCCGTAATCACAGATCGTCCACAGACTACGTAGGTGGTAAAATTATTTACAGTGAAGTTGACGTCACACAGTAGACGTCATCGAACCGAGCGATTTGGCGGTAAATTCAAAACCATTAAAAATAAATTCAACTTTAATTTGTCTAATGGAGAAAAAAAAGACATTCATTAATTTATTTTTATTTTTCGGTTAAATCGTTTGCCCCAGTCTTTAAATATAAGCATTTTTCAAAAATTTGGCAAATACCCTATTCTGTCTCGTTCGCTCGATTGAATGTTTATGTATAGAGTATGCGTGTGTGAGAGTTGCTTTTGTAGTTGAGACGGATCATATTTTATTTGATGCTAGTATGAGCGTACCGTATCTTCCCATTTTGTCTAAGATTAAGATATTTTTCAAAAACTTATCTATTTATGTTATTATTATATGTGTTTCGTTGTAACAGACACTCTTGCCCAGATTGCAATAAGAAATTCTCGTCAAAGGTTTACCTGAAGAAACACTACAACTTCTATCATTTAAAGAAATCACAGTTCAAATGCGAACTATGCAATAAGGTGAGTTATATTATCATCAGCCTATTAATGTACCCACTGCTGGGGCACAGGCTTTCCCTATGGATGATATAGTAAGATTGGGTCGTGACCCACCACGCGGGCCCAGTGCGGTTTGGTGGGCGCTAACGACTGCAGATGCAGCCGATTATATATAATTTAATTATTAAGAGCACTAAAAATACATTAATTTCAATAAAAGTCAATATTTTAACAACATACTGGTGTCGATTCTGGCATGATTCTCTAAACTTAAAACTAAATTTAACATCAGTCTCCTTTTCATTCTATATAGAGAATGACAAGGATACACTGTTGTCAAATTTAAGTTTGAGGTTTAGAGAATCATGCCAGAATTGATACTATTATATATTTTTTCCAATTTTTTGCCATATTGAGAGGTGACAGCTTCGAAAATACTATATTTGATAGAAAAAGTTGGATATAAAGAAAAACATCGGGAGGGTCCATTTTACGGCGGTCAAGCTATGGGATAGGATAACAATAATGAATATATTCCCGTTCGAATTCAATTCAAATTTAGTATCAGTTTATTCAGTCTAGGCTGTTGCAAGCAGTTATGAATGTCGAAAAGCTACGCCATCGGTTCGCAAATCTACGGCGGGAGACCTTGTACTGAGAAGAACCGGCAAGAAACTCAGCAAGGGCTGTTTTTTTCTCCCTGTACTATATACAGAGACGGCAAATTGAAAAAGGACTTCAATATAAGATACTCATTAAGTCTATCTTTCTCTAAGACTTTCCATTACAAATGTTATGACTACCTATCATCATCAGGCTATGAATGTCCCCACTGCTGGGACACAGACCTTCCGTATGGATGGAATAGGATGATTGGGCCATGACCCACCACGCGGGCTCGGTGCGGATTGGTGGGTGCTGACGACTGCAGATGCAGCCGGGACGGCTTAACTTGCCTTCCGAAGCACGGAGGAGCTCGAGATAGTAAATTTTTGGTCACCCATCCAATGACCGACCACTGCGAAAGTTGCTTCACTTTAACGATCGCAGCCGAACGCGCTAACCACTTGCGCCATCGAACTCCTCCTCCTGGGACTACCTATACAATCATAAAAAAAAAAACTGATTTAACCAGACCCGTCTTTCCCAGTGGGCACTTTGGGCAAGTGCCCAGGGCCCTGCGATTGATAGGGGCCCACTTCAGGTCAAATACAAAGTCCCTAGTTCCTGTTAGATCACCAAACGGGGGTCAGAGGGGCCCCATTATCCTAATATGCCCAGGGCCTCCAATAGGTCAAAGACGGCACCGGATTTAACACAAGTTTAGGAATGCCGCGTCCTACTGACTAGCTTTATTGCGTTGCAGTTGTTTATATCAGATTGGCGTCTAAAGAATCACCAGCAGAAACATCACGGACTCAGTAGGCCAAGAAATCATGCTTGCAACATCTGCGGGAAGAAATTCTTCGTAAGTTGAAATTTAAGGTGTACTAATACTTAATTTTAGCTTTATAATGTTTATTTACTATATAAAACTGAAATAGGATATTTGACAAGTTTTAGAAAACGATCCCACGTTATTGACTTATGTTTATGGAGCCCGTAAAAAGTGGATATTCATCATTCTGTTGTGTATTTCAGTAAAAAAAACCAAATCAAAAACTCCATTTGCAAGTTGCCGCGGAAACGTTTTTCTGGACAATATGGCGTCTTACTAGTGTGTGACGTCACACGACTGTTATTAAAACGTCAAACGATACAATGTAATGTCACTATAACCGGAAGTTTACTTGCGTGTGACGTCATTTTAGGCTCCGCCAATCCCAAGCGTTTTGGGTCACGTGACAATAGACAAGAAAACGATTTCTTTTCATGGGTTTTTAGTAAAATGATGAAAATTTTTTTTGTAAAAATAGTAAATACCCCTGCCAATATTCATTCTAAACACAGGTGCTAACACTTGGCACTTTATTTTTAATACTGTCAAATACCCTATTCGCCAATCCGTTTTTCAGCCTTTCTTATAGATGTAATATTGGATTTGGGGGATTGACCCATGACCCACCAAGCTAGCCCGGTGCGGATTAGTGGGTGCTAACGACAGACTTTTGAAGCACGGAGGAGTGCGAACACAGAACACAGAAAAATGTTAGAAGGGTAACTATAGACCGTTTGTACGGGAACCGATGTCGCCGACTCGCCCCTACTACACTTTCACCTAATAGATAATAGCAAATCAAACGACGCGACATCAAAAAATCGAACCAATCAGCGCTCACATCCGAGAGCAACGACGCAATCAGAACCATGTTTTGGTCAAGTTATAAGAATTTGCTGACACACAGTGTTGCCAGGTCTCCACATTTTACAGGTGATCTCCTGTTTTTCTAAAATTTCTCCTGTTCTACTGTTTTTCTACATGAATCTCTTATTTTTCTTAGAATACGATTTTATGTTTTAAATTGCATGTTGAGTAGTATTTTCCGCCATTAATAATGTCGGTAACCTTAATTATTATAAAATAAATGCGATTGTCTACAAGAGCTCCTTCTATACATCTACAGATTTTTCTATAACGCCACCCGATTTTTAAAAATCAGACCTGGCAACACTGCTGACACATAACTGTGGCCCGCCTGTTAAAAATCCATGAAAGTGCTTTTCATGATTTTTTAAGGAAAACTATAACCGTTGTAATGTAGATCAGTTACTTTAAGAGTGGTTCAACTTGTGTATTACAAAATTTCTTACCTAATAAATATTCCTTAGAAGAAAACATTAAAAGTGACTTTTGATGAAGTAACTAATTGCTTGTTTATAACGAGTAAAAGCTTGCATTAAAAAACAAAAAAAGAACTTAGAAATCCACTAGCTAATATTTACGGAACCCTACACTGCGCGTGGCACGCCATGCAATTGTTGTTAATAATAAATTATTAACGTGGTTAAATCTAAAGAAAATATCCTGTCAGGCCGTGCCGAAATTCTTCTAGCCATTCTTAAGCTGCAAGGCAGCGCCATCTCTTCGCATTGTAGGTAACCCACAATCTCCGTCCCGTTCCGTCTGCTGCCTGGTCCGCGTGAAAGTTTTTCTATAATGCGATTCAAATAAGAATAGGAAAGCCAATGAACTGCATCTGTCAAATGTCGCTTAAAAAGTACAGTTTGCAAAAAATACTCGAAACACTTTTTTAGCACTCAGCTGATTCTAAAATAAAAACCAAACATTTTTAAACAAACTATAACAAATGTTGATAATTAATATAATTTGTTTTTTTTTACTAATTGAGTATTGACTAAGAATGGTTGATAACCTAAATCGTCAACCAAATGTCACTTTATGTTGCGTTCAGAAACTCGATTAAAAATTTTCGTTTACATATAGGATGCATGTTCGTATGTGACCTGCATGATTATTCATAAATTCTCTGCAGATATGAGCGCAATTGAAGAGCTAGATTCTGATTAATGATTTTTTTCACACAGTCTTAATAAAGAAATACTATTAAAAATCGGTTGTGATCTTTCTCAACCTTCGTTAAAATAAAAATCTGATGTTTTGCCTCACTTAATCTTAGTAAATAAGTTTTATTAAATAGCAAAATTTTTTTGCTCACTCTATCCATTTGGTTTGAATTGACAGTTATGACGTCAAAATATGGCGCCCAGTCGGTCCTACTCTTAGTTGAATCGCATTATAGTTATATTTTCTTTAGATTTAAACATCAAGCAGTTACATACTTAAAAAATAAAAATTATAACTATTAACGTGGTGTTGATTTTCAGACACTCTCCACGCTACGGGGCCATCAACTAACTCACTCTGAACAGCGCTCATTCATGTGTGAAGACTGCGGGTATACTTTCAAGCAGAGACCAGCTTTATATACCCACATAAAATTAGTACATAAAGGCGTAAAGAGAAAAAAGTGAATATAATCTGAAATAAAGTGAAAATTAATACTTGTTTTTTTTTTATTTTGCTCCGGTGAACTCGGTGAATGTAGGTTATACTTTGATAGTTTAGTAGAGGCAAACTACTTGAGAAAAACAAACAAATAAACCTGCGCAATACACTTTTTTGTGTAAAATAGCTGATGCACAGGCTTCCACGTCTATGGAAATTCCTCAAGAACTTTTCCGGGGTTTATGTTAGCATTCTAATCAATGATATTACATAATAATATACAATGAGACTAATGTTGAAATATTTTTTAAATCTGTCTAATCAAATTAGAAAGAAAGGAAGAAAAATGTTTTATTGTTGACAGAACATAACATACACATATAATGCGAAAAGACATTTAAGTGACATAAAGTAAAACATAACATGTAAAAAAAATTAAAACAACAAAATACAGCTACAGATAATAAATGTATATTTGATGCCAACACTGGACATATCCAGTAATCCAGTGTGAGCCATAGCTCAGCATACACACCAGCCCCTCTAGCATGACCACCGAAACGGGATATGATAAAGCGATGTATCGGCATTAACTGTCAGACTACTATGGAGTTTGACAGTAGTCTGACAGTTAATGTCGATATATCGCTTTATCATATCCCGTTTCGGTGGTCATGCTAGAGGGGCAGGTAAGATTCCTGCTGCACTAGTATTCTGCCATACCCAGAGCAGTGACATCGCAGAAAACATACAAATCTTTCCTCCTTAGGTAAGATGGATTTGCCGCTCGAATTGGAACGCCCGCCTGGGGAAGTAACAGCCACCTTGCAGATCACAGTAAAATAACAGGCTCTGTTTTCCATTAATTGTGGTTGAGTATCGAGCTGAAAGTTTTGCTACGCAAAGTATTCATTGTTAGAAACTCCACAAAAAATAATGGAATTAAGTACCAAATAACGCTAACTAACTATTGGTGTCAATAGGGTATTTGACAGGTTTTAGAAAAGGATCTCACGTTATTGACTAATGTATAAGGAGTCCGTAAAAAGTGGATATTCATCATTCTGTTGTGTATTTCAGTAAAAATAACGAAATCAAAAACACCATTTTCAAGTTGCCGCGAAAACGTGTTTCTGGACAATATGGCGTCTTACTAGTATGTGACGTCACAGGACTGTTATTAAAACGTCAAACGATACATTTTAATGTCACTTTAATGGGAAGTTTACTTGCGTGTGACGTCATTTTAGGCTCCGCCAATCCCAAGCGTTTTGGGTCACGTGACAACAGATAAGAAAACTATTATCTTTTTCGTGGGTAAAATAATGAATATTTTTTTGTAAAAATAGTAAAACCCCTGCCAATATTCATTCTAAACACATATGCTAACAATTGGCACTTTATCTTTAATACTGTCAAATACCCTATTCTGACACGATTTTCTAAACCTACACTTAAATTTGACAACAGTGTATCCTTGTCATTCTCTATACGGAATGAAAAGGAGAGATTGATGTTAAATTTAGTTTTAAGTTTAGATAATCACGCCAGAATCGACACCGTGTTGTGTTAACACAATATCAATCAGACTGAAAATGAGATATTTTTTAATCCCCTACGTTTGATTTAGCTCCTTCAAAACCATGGCGTATAATGACTATAAAACAATTACGTCAAATAAAATAAATGCTAGTCACTCGCTACGAATGTTATTAAATACAGTCTGTCTATAAAGTCGTGACAATAAATGATGGCGCCACTAGTATGCATGTAGCAACCCTGTACAGTCTGACCAAAATGATTTTGATACTAGCAGTTCATTCAAGTAAAATAGGTAATTAATAAGACACACTATACAGTCGTATTTTGTTTCTGTTTTATTAGTAGGTACCTATGCTTATAAAAAGTTTAGCCAAGCATATTTAATGGAATCAGAATAAAATTATTATAGATAAAATAGTACTTTATGGTGTCATCATCATCATCATCAGCCTATTAATGTCCCCACTGCTGGGGCACAGGCCTTCCCTATGGATGGAATAGGGAGCTTAATGGTGTAAAAGTGTGTAATGTTGGTGATTACCGCTGAGGTGCCATTGAGCCAGAGCCGTTAGGTAATCATCAATACACACAAGTATCATCATACGACGTTTTTTAATACACTTGTTAAGAAAATAATACTAAAAATCATTTTATAGTATATAAAAAGTTTATTTAGAGAAACAATTTGTAAATGTGCAGTTAGTAAAACTAGTGATAGGTATCTTCACTAAAAGCATCTGGCCATGGTTCTTAATGTGACCATTTCTTTCTTTGGTCGGCCTTGCCTGTTTTCCCAGGAGTTTCAAACTTTCCATCATTCTTAAAACCTTCGTTGACTATCCGACTCTCTGATTTTCCTGAAAAAAAAAGTAAAAAAATATGTAACGGAATAGAAACAATAACTTATTGACATGAAGCAATTAATTCAAAATTGGTAGAAAACCTGACCGAGTTGAACCATAATAACGTATCAAAAGAAATGGTCGTACTACAATATTACCTATTTACAATGTAAATCTAACCTAAAAATGTGCAATGTAAACAGTGCCTTTTTTGGTCTCAAAATCATAAATTGAGTACATTTGTAACTTCAGGCAGATTACAAACAAATAGTTACACGATTACATATCCATTATAGATGCTGTTCGCCCATAAAATCATCCAAATCCCACAAAATTCGTCCGGCTTGGTAGTCTTCGAAACATCGCTGGAAAACTTTAAAAATCACTTCCCGCGTGCCACTCCGATTTACTTTACTCATTTTTATACCTTTCTGCGTAGTTTCGTCTTAATTTATTACAGTTTAATCCAAACAATAAAAAATACAAAAGGAAAACTGTTCCACAACTGAAACGCGATGACAGCTGATGTACATAAGTTTGGTGTTGCCAGACACATGAATAATGATAGTTCCTCAAACATTAATGTCACGACTTTATAGACAAACTGTACCCTAGACACACACCACACACCACGTTCGCTCAAAATGTGTTCCAAACCAGAAGTGCTTGAACACTACTCAAGTACTTCTTGGTTCGTTCACAGTAGAGATGGGCGTTTTTAGATATTTGTGAAATCGATGAGCATCGGTATCAGATAAATCGCATCGGATCCGCGCACCGATGCCAAGTGAATTTCAGTATCGTAGTATCACAAACTTTGAAGTGCCGGTGGCAAAAATGTAAACAACAATTTATCCATAGCATTGTGATATTTTTATGACATTATTGTTCACCGCTAGCGATATCTTCACCGGCACAGATAAGTTTGTGGCTCCGTTGCTATAGTAACGTTGACGAAAACTAGATGGCATCGGCATCCAATAACTGCATCGTTATCGCGCATCTTTATTCTAAAAACGCCCACCCCTAGTTCACAGTCACGCGCGGACCGTTGAAAAGTCAAGATGCCGCAGAGCTCCGTGAAAAATGCGAAAAAAGTATTTACAGAAAGTACGTACGGTATCTAATCAATATTTGTTAATATAATGCATTTGAAGCAAATTTTGTTCTAATAAATACTGGTGTCAATTCTGGCATGATTCTCTAAATCTAAACTTTTTGACAACAGTGCATCCTTGCCATTCTCTATACAGAATGAAAAGGAGAGACTGATGGTAAATTTAGTTTTAAGTTTAGAGAATCACTCTAGAATCGACACCACTATAAACGGATTAAATAGAAAGTATTTGTGAAATTCAAATACATGGTCGGTTGTATAGTCTCTTGCTCGCTGTCCGTAACCGCTATATTGCTAACAGCGCATTCTGAATAGCGCGTGAAATCCGAAACATAAGGTTTATATTCTTCAGGGTATAGCAATAAGTCTATATTCTTCCGCATATAGCAATAAGTCGTAAAATTTTACGAGTTTGCATTTCGAACTGTCATTACTCTTTGACACATGCGTTTCAATGAAGACCTTATACAGTAAGCATTAAAAGTGACTTTTAATGTTTAAACAATACCTTAAGTTGTGTTTGGCAACGCGATCATCTTACGGAGCTCCGTGGATCGTCCAATGTACCTTTTGGACAGGTTTCGGCCACGATTTTGTTCATGTTGCTGTATCTAGGTATTTAATATCGTTGCTCCCTACCGAAGATTACCAGATTAGTCCGACATCGTCTCGCGACAAAACGAGAATGATTCTCCGGTAAAAATTGACATAAATATAATAATTTCAGGTACGTCTGAAGATTGATAATACACCTACCTTATTCTAGTTAGGCAGAGATATGTTTCGATTTTTTTAACGATCTTCTGACCATACGAATTGGTCTGAGAAAAAAACATAACTTAAAGAACCGATTTTAAATATCAATTGTAGCATTGCCTGGAATCGGTTTTTTAAACTTCAATTCAGATCTGGCATCCCAGTATCAATGTCAAATCATGCGTAGTATCCTCGTAGTTTGTGGTCTAATCAAAACATATTGTAGTACGTAGTATCTAGTAGTCTGTATTTGGGAGTTTATGGCAAGATTTCATTGAGTGCGGTTGGCGTCTTATTTTAATTATTCTTTAATTCTTTCATAGTGGATATTGTGAATTAAAATTGGTGTGATTTCGTGTTAGAACTGTCTGCACAACTTATGTGTAGTAGAATCTTTAAAAGTAAACTGAAGACTAGGCTGTATGGGCATTGCTCCCTATGCCTTCCCTAAATAGGGAGAACGTTAATAACAAAATGTCAAAACATTTGTTGTTGTTCGTGCGATCGCTTCGTTGTATTTTATCTTTTTTACCATTTTGGGCGGTATAATCATTAATAATCGTAATTTCACTCTTATAGTTTATTATTGATAGTAACTGAATATTTAAAATGAAAGAAAAACGTGATAAAGATAAACGCAGCAAGAAACACAAGCATAAAGAAAGGAGAAGGCGCCACAGCAGCGTAAATAACTATTTTCTCTTAAAATCAGTATCAAATCATCGATTTTGCTATATTTTCGCTATCTTAGTGTCTTAGGACAAGTATCACATTGTGCAAAAGAGCACTTGTTTATAACAGTTGAAAATTGTATGTCATATTTTACTCTGACATTGCTATAGAATAGCCTAACTAGACTGAATAAACGATATACAATAATCTATTTCGTATTAACTAGCCAATTTTCGTTTGTTTTGTATTTACAGTCGAGTTCTTCAAGTTCAGAATCTGATGAATGGGTAGAAAAACAGACCAAAGTACAAGAACCAGCTCCAGAAAGGGAAGATTGGATGTCTATGACTGGTATGCTCAGGACTTTCACAAAAGAGGACATCAAACCAAAGGAGGAGAAAAAGAACAAGAACCACATAGATTCATACAATCCTTCAACTAGTGTTAGAGAATTAAATCCTTATTGGAAGAACGGAGGAGCTGGTCTTCCTCAGACATCAGCAGAACTCCGCAAGACCCGTCAGTTTTTAAAGCCGGATGACGACGAAGTTTATTATAAAAGGTCCTCATCTGCAAAAGATTATGATAAAACTGCTGAAAGTAGTTATAGTTCTAAGCGTTCAGAGAAATCACACAGAGAATATGATAGGTATCATAAGTCGGAACGGGACGCCCCCAGACAAAATTGGAAGGTACGCAATGATTGCGAGACTAAAAGGTCAGCCACAAAACAATGTTCACCTTCACCAAAAGAGGAGAATTCAAAGCAAGTAATGTTAGAACACCATATCAGAGAAAGGAAAGAGAGAGAAGATGAAAAAGTAGAAAAGAAAGAAGACTTGTACATGAGCGATGAAAAGCTGAATAAATTGGCAGCAAAAGTTGTTAAAGCTGAAATTATGGGGGACACGGCACTGGTTGCAAAATTAAAGGCCAAGTTAGAAGCAGCAAGGGAATACCGTAAGCAGAATCCCAATGCTGGTAAAGAGGATGAAGATGACCGTGTTATGCTAATGTCGACGAGCAGTTCAGGTAACAGCAGACCTCTGGCTAATGTCAGTAAGGGTGATGCAAGAAGTAAAGGAGGTAAACGTAAAGCGGAGACTCATGCCTCTGGTGAAAGAACGAAATACTTTGGTAACGATGATAAGTACAACTTAGCACAGATGGTGAGTTACAAATCTTAATTATTGTTAAATATATTATTGGGTCTTAATACATTTATCCATGGCACTAATTAAGTTTATGACTTAATTTTATAGTCTTTGTTTAATTTTCTTACACCACTTAAGTACTTCATACCACAAATCCATTATGCAAGATTGACTGTCATGTAGTGATAATACCTAACCCGACCCATCACCAATCTGTTTTTTGAAAATGCCATAGTAACCTAATATAGTGCCATAATGATTCATTAAATAGTATTGCAAATATCTATTTATTTGTAGATAAAAACTGTAATTATTATACAGTATAATCTCACTAATCCGGCACTATTAAAAACCAGAGGGTGCCGGATTATTGGAATGTTCGGATTACTGGATTATAGTGAAAAAGTCATAGGTAACAAATAAAATAAAGCATTTCATAGTTGAATAAATGTATATAGGTATGTAATGTATTAATTTAACAAGTACATTCATATGGAATTACATTGTTTTAAAATAATCCTTAATTGAGGTCTGTGCAACTTGTAGTCCTTGCTTACAAGAAATTTTGGACACAAACACCAGATATTGGCCAAATCCTGAGGGAGCCATCACTGAAGAAATCTAAAAACCTTTTCTCGCATGTTGCGAAGAATTACAATCTTTGGCAGACATGCCGTTTTCTTCTGCCCATGTTATGCAGGTATTGAAACAAATCAAATGCTTTTATGCGCAAGTTGGATCTTTTCATAAACTTCTTGACTTCTGGGACAAAGTCATTATGAAACCATTCGCTGAATACTTCTCTCGTGACCCAACTTCTAATTTGATTCTAGTAGCAGACTGGCAGACAAATGTTCTTGAAAGCTCTAGGATTTTTTGCTTTACTAATCACTAACAAATCCAAGCGCACAGGTGTAGAGGGGCGAGGGAGACATGGGCGGAGGGTGCCGGATTATTGGACATGCCGATCTATCGAAGTGCCAGATTAGTGAGATTATACTGTACTTGCAAAACAAAACAAAATCCTTGTCAATGCACAACTAATACTTTCTTCCAATTTCAGTTTGAACAAGAGAAATACGGCAATAATTACGATGATGAAGCGCAGCTAGCGAAAATAGCTAGTAAGCACAAGAACCCCAATGATGACTTAGAAGACATATTCATGGATGACATATCTAAGAATAGGAACGAAGCGAAGGACAGGGAAGCAGAAAAGCAGAGAGCTATCAAGCAACATGTGAAATTAGAACGGTCATTAGAAGGATGCGAATTCTGTGTAGACTCAAGGAATATGTTGAAACATTTGATGGTTAGCTGCGGAAGTAAGGTGTATGTTTCAGTGCCAGCTAAACAATCATTGGTGAAAGGACAATGTATAATAACGACTATTCAACATAATACTTGTGTTACAGCATTGGATGAAGATGTTTGGGATGAGGTGTTGGTAAGTGTAGTGGTGATTAGAATATTGTTTATAAGATGGTAATCATAGGAAAATTGTTATACAAATTATAGCCAGGTAGCTGTGCCCCGCGATGTTAGTGTCATTACCCCACCTTATCTGATGTTAAGATTCGGCAGAAAAGTGCCTGAGTTTAAAGAGCTCAAAAAACTTCCTCACTAACATGGAATATTTGACGACCTCCGTAGCTGAGTGGTTTGTACGCCGGGTTCCATGGTGTCGCCGACTCGAGAGGTCCCGGGTTCGAATCCCGGTGGGGGCAGATGTTTGTGTGATGAATACAAGCATTTGTACTCTAGTCATGGATGTATAATACGTATTTCTATATAAATATACTTATTTGTACAGTATATGTATTCTATCAGTTACCCTAGTATCCCATAATACAAGCCTTACAGTGCTTACTTTGGGGCTAGGGTAATTGGTGTGAGTGTTGGAAATATTTATTTATTATTTATCAAAAGGTAGAATAATTTGTACTGTGGTTTAATATTAAGAAATTTTGCGCATAGCATATTTTCAGCTCAGAAAACCTGTGAAAAGCTAAAATTTTTATGAAATTTTATTCCAGACATACAGAAAAGCTCTTACACAATTCTACAACTCACAAAATCAGGATGTAGTCTTCTTCGAGATAGCGACCAGGTTACATAGATTCCCTCATATGGTCATAAACTGTGTTCCGTTACCAAGAGACGTTGGAGACATGGCAGCAATATATTTTAAGAAAGCTCTCCTAGAATGCGAAACTGAATGGTCTATGAACAAGAAAGTAGTGGAGCTAAAAGGGAAGGATGTCAGAAAAGGTGTTCCGAAGGGACTGCCATACTTCTGGGTGGACTTCGGCATGGAGCCCGGGTTCGCTCATGTCATTGAAGATCAGCAGTTGTTCCCAAAGAATTTTGGAGAGGTTAGTATAATCTTATTTATGTTTAAACGCGGAACTTCAAGGTTTAGTGCTTTGCAGACCAGTTTTCTTGTTATAGCGATCTTCAAGGGCACAATATTGTAATAACTGTCTTTTGAATGCAGACACAGTATTTTTTTTTATTTGCATTATCTGAATTTTACAGCATTACAGTATTTTTATTCCCTTGAGTTAAGGGAATAATTAATGTTAAGAATATACTGGACCCTTAGCACATTATCCAAATCGAATAGTTTATGAGGGGAAATGTCAATGTCAAATTTTGTATGGAATCTTGAACAGCAGCGCCACAAAGTACATAACGAGAACTAAAAATCAGTACACATTTGACATTGGCATTTCGGACTCGCAAACGTTACGAATTCGATATTGGTTCGTGCTAAGTGTACTGATACCTAATTATGTCTAATACAAATAATCATGTGAAGTACTAGGACAATAATGTCTCCGTTTTAAGTTTCTATAATAATACCGATTAGTAATTGTATTTCATCTTATCCAATACAAATCACATCATAATACGATATTATTTTCAAACCAAAGAGTAGCACTGATTATATACATGCCCAGATACCGTATTAATTGCTTGGAAAAAATATCTACTACATATGGTAGATATGCTCGTCGCTATACACGCTCACATTGACAACTTTATTTAATACGCAAAAAGATTCAAATTTCATTGTACGTCTCTGAGCCTCATTTCAGAATTCTCTCAATGTATAGATTGTAAACGCATTATTATTTTGTTGTAGGAGATAATCGGAGGAATGTTAGATCTGGAACACTATTTATGGAAGAACCCTAGGAAGGAATACGGTGATCTACAAAGGAAGAAAGTTCTGGAGTTCATCAAAGAATGGAAACCATTTGATCCCAATAAAAAATGAGCCGATTCCTATTGTTTTATTTAATCTATGTTGCTGGGGGGGAAAGAGGTATATATTATACTAGTGCATGTACGCGACTTTCTCTGCATGGAATAATTTATTTCCCACGCAAAGGTCAACCCCCTTTCCATCACCTTAAATAAAAACTATCCATGTTCTTTCACGAGACTCATCTATCTCTCTACAGAATTTCATCTAAATCGGATCAATGGTTTAAACCTGAAGAAATAACGTTTGCATTCTAGTATAAATTTATTTGAACATTTAAGCAAGGAGTTTGTTCAGTTGTGTTCCATTCGCTGAGGTGCACAATCCAGGCCAGATCGTTTCTTCATCATCATTCACATTGTATTTTATGGTTGTGTTCACGTGGTTAGTAGGATCTTTTCGTTCTTCTTAGGGTCCCGCACACGAAGAGTAAAAATGGAACCCTATTGCTGTGGTTTGTTGGTATGTCACGGGTCTTTTAAGTAAACGAAAAGAGTTACAGAACTGAAATTTTAGTAGAATTATTATTATGTAGAATGCTTGCCCAAAGCCGAATATTTAGTTAAAAATTCAATTTTTTTTTCATACATGAAAAGGAGATGAAAATATTTTTTTTCCTTTTTGCCCCAGCATGACAGATCATTGTCTCTAGCTCGCTGAGTAGGATATAAATACAATTTTTATTATTTTTAAATCAGAGTTTTAATTTTTAGACCATTTCTGTTATGGGGTCTATCTCAGAATTTAAATTAGTTAGGAATGTGAAACTTTGCTTTAAGACGTCCCTTAAGCAGTATTTAAACAACAAATAGGTAATAAAAAAGCCGATTTATAATGTACTTTGTAAGTATCGACGAGAAAAAACAAACAATTTTTCGTTTTTGCGGTTTGTTGCACCACGCTAGGACTGAGGACCCTTCTGCTCTTAAATACAAAGTTGTATAAACGTTGTATTCTTTGCCTTTCAAAATAATGGAAAGTTAAAATAACAATCAATCAAATTATAATTTCAGTTTGCTAGTGTTGGGATAGGACATCTAATGAAATTGATTTTACAAAATACATAACAAATGGTGTCGATTCTAGCATGATTTTCTAAACTTAAATAAAGGAGATTGCTCAGCTTCCATACATGTTTGGCCTAAAGACCAATAATCATGAAAAATTGTTTCCTAGATTCGAAATTGTATATAAATTACTGTAGAAACGAATATTATTGACGGACACCCCTAAGAACTTCTATAAACCATATACACTGAACATATTGAAATAATAAAAAATAAATAAGTTATATAGTAAACTAGAGAAATCAAGCCAAGTACCAAAATTATGGATTAGATTCAAGTATATAGAGCATGTAGATTAACAGATAGTTGCCTGTTTTTAAAGTTAATGCTTAAGAGTAACTTTTAAAATCAGGTGTCATTTCCGGTAATATTAAGGTATTCTGTGACAGAAACTATGTTATGATTGTGAATGAGCCACAGATTAGAGAGAATTTTTAAACTCTCGTTAACCAAAGAAAGATTTAGGTTCAATAGCCACATATTCAGTAGCTTCATTATTTTTGTTATGTTTTTAAGATAACCATATTTTAGATTTTTAGTGTATCACACCTTATAATTTTATTTATTTATTAATTTATAGTCAGGGAACTTAGGCCCATAGATAGATACCATAAAGTCTAACATACAATACAGATTATAATGTGTTTATGGAGGTGTTTGGCGAAAAATGTATGGCAATAGACTTTATGATGTCGCCTACCATCTATAATAATTGTCTAAACACATTTGCATCCAGTGAAAATGATAATATAGTTGTGGATATTAATACCACAGTGTAATAAAAAAAATCATTCATTTTATCGCTCTTAACAAAATACATTTGTTTTTATGTTATTTAAACAACTTCGATCAGTCTTTGGCTGAATGTTACTACACCCATAGCCATTCAAAATGATTCGTATGTTTTCCAAACCAGTAAAATTAAAAGTCCTTTTTAAAGTAAATATATTATACAAAGGTGTGCATTGAAATCTAATGACTGGAAATTAAATTAAAATTACGCCAAGAATTACCGTGTATGTCAATATTTTATGAGCATTTGGGCCAATTTGGGCAAACTCCTTTGACAGCTGCAGTATATCCTTGTCATTCTCTATACAGAATGAAAAGGAGAGACTGATGTTAAATTTAGTTTTAAGTTTAGAGAATCCCGCTAGAAGCGACACCATTGGTATCGATTCCGGCATGATTCTCTAAATCTAAACTTAAATTTGACAACAGTGTATCCTTGTCATTCTACATACAGAATGAAAAGAAGAGACTGATCTTAAATTTAGTTTCAAGTTTAGAGAATCACGCCAGAATCGACATCAATGTTGATAAATTGATAATTACCACCCAACCTATAGATCATTTGTAATTTGGTATTTTAATAATAAATGTATCTAAATGTTAAACTGAACATGATATCAGCATTTATCATACTTCACAGAGAATAAAAAGGAGAAACTTTGAAAGATACTAAGGTTGCTTTCCAATTACAGCATTATTGCGCATTATGCGGCATAATGCTTAACGTTGAGTGTTCCAACTACAGCAACGCTTCGCACAATTGAGCACTCTCAAAAGTGATGCTTTCGTGTGATGCGTGCAATGGTACCAACTTAGAGACAGAAAATTAACAAGTGTTTTTTCTTTAAGTTGGCATTGATCGAAATGTTTTATTTATATGTTATCGTTAGTAATATTATTTATTGTTGAAAAATTATTAAAGCTTTCGTTTCATTAAATAGTTTTTTTTAAATAATCAAAGTTCATTCAAACTGTTAAAAGATAAATATAAGTATGGATGAAGGTACAAACATTGACTTTTTTTTTCAACACTGAACTTAAGGCACTCTGCTGGTGCATTTGAAAACTAATTCACGTTCCAATTAAGCATCAGCATAATTGGGCATTGTGCGGCACTGAGTCGCATTATGCTCTGTAAGTGGAAAGCATACTAAATCTTACTGTTCACGTACAGTGTGAAAAGGATCTTTATGAATGTGAGAGATAGTCCAGGGAGAGCGCTGTCTACGTAAAAGACCGTTAGTTCCAATTTTCGCTACCTTCATAAAAATCTTTGTCGCCATATACATTCACCACGATACCGTACCTTATCTACACGGAAGCTTAAATTGCTTCTGTTCATCAGAAAGGCTAGAAATGTATGTTTTAGGACATCCATTATCTCCCGGCTGCATCTGGAGTAGTCAGCAATAGGAATTTCTTGAAAAACAATAACGAGCGAGCCTTACAGTAGTCGCGTATGATGTGTAACATTTGAATCCTCACCTTATAGTAGTAAAAAAAAAACCCTACTACAAAAGGAATAAGCCATTTGAACATTATGTTCCAAAATCAAATCAAATAGCGCGCGCTTTCGCGACTTCCTGTTACACATCCGTCCTATTTCACGAAATCACTCCCACAAATTGCAGAAAAGCGCGAGGAAAGATCAAAGAGTAAAAAGATGTAACACATCAAAAACAGAAACAATCTTGGAAAATTCGTCAAAAACAATGTTGAATATGATAATCGATTTTCTTTTCGCATCTCTAATTTATAAACAAATGACAACTTCCAGCCAGGGGATCTGCGTGAAAAGGCTTTTTGTTTAGTTTATGTAAAAAACAACTGTTGTAACATGGAAAAAGTTATTAAAAATATAAATTATAGTTATTACAGAAGAAAAGTTTGCAATGTTTGTTTAAGCAGAGACCGCCAGCTGTACACTGTAGAAAAATATGCTGATATCTTTAAAAATGTGTGTGGAAATCTAGAAGTAGGTGTTTTTAAAATTACTTGTCTTTGTTACTTTTATTTATCTGTGTTAAAACCTAGTCTAACATTATTGGAGTCCATAAAATTCACCTGTAATCGCAGATATTACATAGTACTGTAACTGTTTTGATTGTGAAAGTTTGTTTATTTTAATTGTTTGTTATTCAATAATCAAAATCATCCTTGCGGATTTGGATGAAATTTTGAGCATAATATATACTACTTTTTCTGGATTTCCAAACATAAGTCTCTTTGTGCCCTGCAAAAAAATTACAGTTCTGTGGGGGAGTATAATTTCAAAATAACTTGTATACACCAATGACGTTTAATGTATTTTAAACAACCCCCTCCAACTTCCATTGAAGAGATGACACGTTTTTTCTTGTCTCTAATATTAGTTAATAATAAACCTTAAATAAAAACTGAAATTAAGTTAATTTTCCACTGTCGATATAATGGCCATGCTTTTTTTATAATTCAGGTACCTTTCTCGCCCATGGTATGTTGGGAATGTGATGCAATATTGAAGAAAATCAAACAGTTCAAAAATAAAGTTGCTTGGTCTATAAAAATTTTGAGGCAGATTGCAGATGGAGAGGTAAGAAAGTGCGTTATATATTTTGATCACAAGTCGGCAAAACAGTACTTTCTGGACCAGGCCTCCTGGCCAGGTGACACTTCAAAATTAAAACCATAGCTATAATTGCTATTTCTTCTTTCAAATGGTTAATACTTGTAAAAGTATTCATTTATCATTGTGGGTTACCTACACGGGAGAAAATTCGACACGGTCGTCAGGGCACGTGTTAGCATAAGGGTCAGTGCATTCTGGATAGCGAAGGGAGCAGGTTTGTGTCCCGTCTGCTGCTCGGTCCGCATGAAATTTTTTCTAGTAAATTTTTCTTTAGGTTTAAAGTTTTTTTTCCCAAACCTTACATAGCAGGAAGTATCATCTCGTAGGCCCACAAAGTACAATTTAGTCCACAGGTCTATTGAGGTCAGGCAGTAAGGAAAAATGCTGTTTTTATTTACAGACAAAACTTATCGTGGATATTTTTCTGTTGTATTAAGTATGAGCAGATGTGAGTCTCCTGCACTATTAATGATAATAAATTCTGAACAAAACAATTATTGATGTTTATTCAATAAGTTTTAATATTAGAGAAAGCCAGCTATAACAGTAAAAACAAAACTAAAATGTAATCTCTCTTTTCAGAATCCAAACCCAGATTCTTTATCTAAATTAGAAATCATTCAAAACCGTTCAATAGTAATCGCAGAGAATAAGAATGACGAAGATGAAAGCATCATTAAAATTAAGGAAGAGGATTCCGTACAAAATTCTACACAGCCTCCTCCAAATTGTGCATTCTCAGAATTCAAATATGAGATCAAACAAGAAGTGTTAGAAGAAAGCGAATGTAATAATGGTTATAATGCAGCAAATTACTATTGTTCTATTGAAATTGATGGCATTCCTCAAGATGAAGTAAAGGACGAAGTTAAAACAATGTTTACAGATAAAAATGAAGCTAATTCAAAAAGGGTTATAAATAAACAATATAGAATAATCGGTGATGAAGAAGGAGGGAGACAACTGAAAGGTTTTACACGAGAAATACCATTGACTATAGAACAAGTTAAGTATTATATGGAAAAGGAAAGAGACAGTGCATTGTACAATGAATGGTCATATAAATGTGAATTGTGCATTTGCAGTTGGAAAACTAAACAGAAATTAATGGAGCACAACAAGCAGTTTCATTCCAAGGTGAGATGGGATGTATTTTTTTTTATCAATAGGTCCGACAAATGACTCCACGCCACCTGATGTTAAGTGACAGTGAAGTCCAGATGCGAAGATAGCTGGTATAACAGTTCTACCTGCCACAGCAGCCATCCTCACCCTGCCTCTCTTAAAGGATCCCAGTATTATGTTCATAGAGAAACAGGGAGGTGACTCGTAACCTAAATATTGTTATAAATAAAAAAACCTTTAATTACGATACACTGTTACATAATACACAGCTAAATCTTACACACTTCTTTGTATTTCTGTGTGTATTAGGACACAAAGAGGATTATGAGATGACCGATTAGGGTTTGTACTTGTCTGAGCTGTTTACGACTATGAAAACTTATTGAATACCCTATTCGTTAATTTTTCATTCTATTTTATTATTAAATAGCAGGCCAGACAGATGTCCTGCCCAATAATAATAAAGAAAGACCTAGAACTTAACTGCAGCGCCATCTACCGGGAAAGGAAGTTTTTCGAAGTGAAACTTCTAAGACAGGCAGGCACTGGGGGGGTAAACTGGTGAATGCGCTACGATTAGTATCATTGGTGACTCATCGGTAAACAATGAACAATACCCGTCACTAAATTCATGACCCAGCGCGGATTGGTGGATGATAAGGCGCTTTGCAGACGACGGGGCGGGGCGGGCCGGTCAATTTCGCCGCGAATAATAGCACAAAGTGAATCCTATACTACAAACGCACACAGAGGGCAAAAAGACCGCGCCTTGGGTGCCCGGTGGGCACTGGCGGCGCGGCATGTCCGCGGCTGCCCGCCGTGGATCATACAAACCAGTTTATATGCAGTAACGCAGACGGCGGCGCGGGGCGGTCAGCTCAGTCCGCGCCACGCGCTTTTTAGTGATGGACTATTCACTAGAACGAACGTCCTGAACTGACCGCCTCTGCCCGTCGTGTGCTTTGTGTACGCGGCGCGGGCAGCCGCAGACATCGACGGGCAGACGCGGTCTTTATTGCTTCGCGGACAAAAAGCCCGCCCCGCCCCGTCGTCTGCTAAACGCCTAACGGACCCAGCGTGGATTGGTGAGTGATAACGGACTTAACTTTAAAAAGAAATCAGAAAAGTCCTTTTCAAGTCCAAGAAAGTCTATAAGTCATGATGAAGGAATATAGGGATAAATTTTTATGTATAGTTATTCGCATTTCGAGCTATTTGATGTTATTTTATATATCGTAAGTGGTTAGCGCGTTCGGCTGCTATCGTTGAAGTTAAGCAACTTTCGCAGTGGTCATTGGACGGAAGACACATAAAGCCGTTGGTCCCGGCTGCATCTGCAGTTGTTAGCACCCACCAAACCCGTATATTCCCAGTCTATACATTCCCATAAGTTTCTGGGAATAAACATTCAGTATTTTATTCCCAATTGCCTTTGAATAAACGAACCATCTGCATGGTGGCTCATGACCCAATCTACCTATTCCATCCATAGCGAAAGCCTGTGCCCCAGGTGTGGGGACATTAATAGGCTGATGACATTGATGATACATATTTATATATTTATTCCAGGATGACGCCAAACCTCAATGTGACATATGCCTCAGTCGTTTTTCGTGTAAAGGTCATCTATTGAAACATTTGCACCGACACTTCAATATTCTGGAGTGCTTAACATGCCAATTTCGATCTTACACCAACCAGATGAAGAGGCACCTTCAAACACATATAAAGAAAATTGAATGTGTCCAATGTGCAGCCCGATTCAGGTAAAAAACCCAAACTGCTATACAATCCATTGATGAAGACTGAGAGAATTATTATATGTTTGTTTTGTTTTAGCAACAGACACATCAATTAGCCGAGCCCCAATGTAAGCACTATAAAGCTTGTGTTATGGGATACTAGGGTAACGGATAGAATACATATACTGTACATTTAAAAGTATATTTTTATAGAAATACATATTAAACATCCATGACTGGAGTACAAATGCTCGTATTCATCACACGAACATCTGCCCCCACCGGGATTTGAACCCGGGACCTCTCGAGTCGGCGACACCATGAAACCCGGCGTACAAACCACTGGGCCACGGAGGTCGACACGTTACGTTGTTACTAATACTGTTTAATTTTGACAGTACTAAAAGTAATTAACAAAATAATGGGGTTAGTAGGTACTGAATAAGCCCGTAGCAAAACATTTGTGTTTTTATAAAACCTCGATGCAAGTGACTTAAAGCATTATTAAATAAAAAGTACTTATTTTTTTTTAAGCATTTGACTGCTAGATGTTTAAATCTAAAGAAAAGTTTTACTAGAAAAAAACCACGCGGCTGGTCCGCGTGGATTTTCGCAGCGGACGGGACTCGAACCCGCACCCTTCGCAATCCGGGCGAATGCACTGGCCAATTATGTTACCACGGCCCTGATGGCCGCGTCAGAATTTTCCTAGCCTTAAGCTGCAGGGCCGAGGTAGCATAATTGGTAAGTGCATTCGCCCGGATTGCGATTTTTTTTCTAGTGAAACTTTTCTTTAAAAATTACTTTCTTGGCTGGGAATTAAACCTGCCCCTCTAGCATGAGCACCACGATATGATATATAACGCGTTTTTATCACGCTCAATTGTCAAATTACTGTGGAGTTTGACAGTTAGACGTGATAAAAAACGTGATTTAATGTAAATTGTTGTGCTCATGCTACGGGGACTGGGCCGCCTGCTTAGCGGGTAAGCTTTCTATCACTGAATCACTGATGCTTTTTGATAAGGTCTGAATTATTAATTAAACTGAAAGTTTCATTTTAACAAGTTAAAAATATTCAAGAAATGTTTTTGTTTAAGATAGAAATTGAACATTCATTGTACTTAATATATATAGATATATGTATATTACTTACAGCAACATACATATGTTTTATCAACACCATAAGGAGTTGCATGTCAAATACGTATGTGATATATGCGGGAAAAAGGCTAGATCCAAGAGAGTTCTGGAAAAACATATGAGGTGTGTATAAAAAAAAACGAGCGAGCCTTACAGTAGTCGCGTATGATGTGTAACATTTGATACCTCACCTTATATTAGTAAAATTAGTAAAAAAATAAATAAAACCTACTATAAAAGGAATAAGCCATTTGATCATTATGTTCTAAAATCAAATCAAATAGCGCGCGCTTCCCAAACTTCCTGTTACTCAAGAGAGAGAGAGAGAGAGAGAGAGTAGTAGGAGAGTAGAGAGAGAGTAAGAGGTCGGAAGACCGTCCCACTTCACGTAATCACTTCCACAAATTGCACGAAAGCGAGAGGAAAGATGTTACACATCAATAACCAATACGTAAAATGAATTTTGAATATATATTACAAACTTTAAGAAATAAAGGAATACTAACTGCACTAAATAGTGGTAGAAGCACTTTGTGTGCACGTGAAAAAACTGGTATTAACAAGCCGGTCATAGGTTTGGTTGGGATTTCCTTCTAACGTCATCTTACGCAATGAATGGATAGCTGAATTCATTCGCAGATATTTGATTTATGTTTTTTTTAAGCATTCACCTGCTATAATCATAATCAAAATCTTTATTTGCTAAAAACACAGTATATAGGTATTACATAAAGTGGATTGAGCACGTGTTTTGCCATTTTAAAAATATCATGCAAATACATAATATGGAACCAATAAAAAAGAGATTAATTAATTATAACATTTTTCTGTAAAATTATAAATTACCTAATATTATGTCAATAAAATATACAATGTCAACATATTAATATTACAAAATTTCTAAATGTCAAATAAAAAAAAATAAAAAGATACATTTATCATAATTATAATAGGATAATTAAGCTAGATAATTAAACCTAAAGAAAAGTTTACTAGAATAAAAGCCACGCGGACCAGGCAGCAGACGGGACTCGAACCCGCACCTTTCGCTATTTGGGCGAATGCACTGACCATTAGGCATTGTCCTAATACAACGCGATAACGCGATCATCGCGCGTTTAAACGATGCGACCATCGCGTGATCGCGAACTGGGTGTCCTAATAGAACGCGAATACGGAACGGGTTAGCCCTGCCCCTCTCCCCGCTTCCTATCGACGCGACGGGATCATCGCGCGAACTTCAGTTAGGACATCTATTCATCATTAATAGGTTTCATTGTGCGAATAGATTTTTAAACATTTTAGTCGCGCGAATGCATCGCGCGATCGCCTATTAGGACACCTATTCTAGATCAATATGTTTGATCGTCGACTCGTACGATGATCGCATCGCTCATTCGCGTTATCGCGTTGTATTAGGACAATGCCTTATGCTACCGCGGCCTTGACTAATTATTTAATTCAATTCAATTTTTTGAGAATCCCTCGGAAAACAAAATTTTTTTCGGCATGAAAAGTATCTTATGTGTCAATACAGGTAATAAACTGTAAACTGAATTGAGACATACGATAGACCTATATATATATTTAAATATGCCGAATTTCATCCAAATCCATTAAGCCGTTTTTGCGTGAAAGAGTAACAAACAAACAATATCACTCTCGCATTTATAATATTAGTAGGATTATTAAATAGATTTCCTTCACCAACAGACACCACTACGAGAATTTCTCGTGTAAAGTTTGCGATCGTTCATACAAATCGCGCGCCTCCTACCGTCGACATGTTGAAGACAAACACTCCACTTGGTGCATAGAGAACGCGTACTGCGTCCAATGTGATAAGAAGTTTAGCAGCATTATAACTTACAAACGACATATTGCTACTAACAGTACTCATGCTGCTGAGATCAGGGGAGATAAGTAAGTTTTAGTATGTAGTATAAAATCTGAGAGTAGGTTGTAGAGATATGAGAGTAGGTTTGGGGGATATGAGAGTTGGACGTGAAATGTGAGAGTAATGTGTGGTGGTATGAGAGTTGGACGTGAAATGTGAGAGTAATGTGTGGTGGTATGGGAGTAGGATGTGGAGATATGAGAGTAGGACGTGAAATGTGAGAGTAAGGTGTTGTGGTATGAGCGTAGGATGTGGAGATATGAGAGTAGGACGTGAAATGTGAGAGTAAGGTGTGGTGGTATGAGATTAGGATGTGTAGATATGAGAGTAGGTTGTGGTGGTATGAGCGTAGGATGTGAAGATATGAGAGTAGGACGTGAAATGTGAGAGTAAGGTGTGGTGGTATGAGAGTAGGATGTGGAGATATGAGAGAAGGACGTGAAATGTGAGAGTAAGGTGTGGTGGTATGAGAGTAGGATGTGGTGATATGAGAGTAGGACGTGAAATGTGAGAGTAAGGTGTGGTGGTATGAGAGTAGGATGTGGAGATATGAGAGAAGGACGTGAAATGTGAGAGTAAGGTGTGGTGGTATGAGAGTAGGATGTGGAGATATGAGAGTAGGACGTGAAATGTGAGAGTAAAGTGTGGTGGTATCAGAGTAGGATGTGGAGATATGAGAGTAGGACGTGAAATGTGAGAGTAAGGTGTTGTGGTATGAGCGTAGGATGTGGAGATATGAGAGTAGGACGTGAAATGTGAGAGTAAGGTGTGGTGGTATGAGATTAGGATGTGTAGATATGAGAGTAGGTTGTGGTGGTATGAGCGTAGGATGTGAAGATATGAGAGTAGGACGTGAAATGTGAGAGTAAGGTGTGGTGGTATGAGAGTAGGATGTGGAGATATGAGAGAAGGACGTGAAATGTGAGAGTAAGGTGTGGTGGTATGAGAGTAGGATGTGGAGATATGAGAGAAGGACGTGAAATGTGAGAGTAAGGTGTGGTGGTATGAGAGTAGGATGTGGAGATATGAGAGAAGGACGTGAAATGTGAGAGTAAGGTGTGGTGGTATGAGAGTAGGATGTGGAGATATGAGAGTAGGACGTGAAATGTGAGAGTAAAGTGTGGTGGTATCAGAGTAGGATGTGGAGATATGAGAGTAGGACGTGAAATGTGAGAGTAAGGTGTGGTGGTATGAGAGTAGGATGTGGAGATATGAGAGTAGGACGTGAAATGTGAGAGTATAGTGTGGTGGTATCAGAGTAGGATGTGGAGATATGAGAGTAGGACGTGAAATGTGAGAGTAAGGTGTGGTGGTATGAGAGTAGGATGTGGAGATATGAGAGAAGGACGTGAAATGTGAGAGTAAGGTGTGGTGGTATGAGAGTAGGATGTGGAGATATGAGAGTAGGACGTGAAATGTGAGAGTAAGGTGTGGTGGTATCAGAGTAGGATGTGGAGATTTGAGATTAAGGTGTGGTTGTATGAGAGTAGGACGTGTAGATATGAGAGTAGGTTGTGGAGATATTGTAGTAGGATTTTGAGGTATGAGAGTAGGATGAGGAGATATAGCTTTCTTTAAAAAAATATTCTTAAATAGAAAACACAAAATAACACTGTTTTTATTGCCTTTTTTTGTAGGTCGTTAGAAAAAGTGCCATGTCCCGATTGCGGTCGACTTTATTCTCGTAAATGCTACATGGAAAACCATTATAGGCACGTTCATCTGAAGCAATCGCCTTACCACTGTCATTACTGCGATAAGGTATTATCAACACCCAGACACAAGTTTTTCTTTTTCTCGAAAATGGTAATGATCATTGACGAATTAATAATAATATTGTGCAATATTCGACATATAAACCAATAGCTTATAGAAGATTAGAGGCATAGAAGCTCTTCTACTGTGGCATTCTCGGCGTAAAATAATAATAATAATTAAATAAATATTTCCAACACTCACACCAATTAGCCTAGCCCTAAAGTAAGCACTGTAAGTAGGGTTGCAACGATATATCGGAATATCGATAATATCGAGACCAAACTATCGATATTTATATCGATATTTAAAATTCACTGATATCGATAATATCGATATCGGAAATTCCAAAATATCTATATTTCGTAGACTAAATTTGAACACAATAATATCAATTAATTTACCTGCTATGACTATCTAAATTGAATAATATCGTAATAACTATTGCTTTGAAATCGCAAGAGCTAATAGATGTATTAAAAAAATCTTGAACCCCAAGAAATATACTAAACTGATGTAGATTCTGGCATTATTCTCTAAACCTAAAATTAAATTTGACAACAGTGTATCCTTGTCATTCTCTATACAGAATGAAAAGGAGAGACTGATGTTAAATTTAGTTTTAAGTTTAGATAATCATGTCAGAATCGACACTAACGTATATAGGTATAATCGTATACCTAATGGTAACTCATGCACTTAAATAAGATCCTTGCCTCTCTTTCTAGATAATTGTCAACTACTGATTAATTGAAATTTAATATCATTGTAATACAACACAAAATAAAATTAAGAATCTTATACAAATCGTAAATTTTTAAGCTCCCCAAGTCAAGAAAGTAAGATAGGTATAGTAATTTTGGAAGCTTTGGGCTTACCCTATTCTGAAGCCATGGGCACGCCCCTGATGTGTGGGAGACTAAGCAATTTGCGTATTTGATGGGCGCTAAAAAACGACATAGCTTAGAAAAGCACGAATGTAGTGAAAACTTAGCAAAAGCATTCGCAAATGTCGTCCCACATATGCGGGTTGGCGCATTCGTGCTAACGAATGTGAGTGATCTGATCAGGATAATAATTTTAATTTTTTGGTTTCCTGACGTGGCTGAAACACAAACCGTGCGAGCCAATTAAAAAGAATCCTGCTTGGCGCGATTTCATCAAGCGTGTTTAACGAAAAAGCTGGCTCAATGCATTTTGCGAGAAACTCGCCGACAAACATATGAATGTGTCACACTTACCCCGTATTCTAATGTCAATAAAAAATGAAAAGGAAAAAATATCGATAATATCGAGTTAAAATGGTCGATATATGGGAATCGATATTTTTTCTGACTTCGATATAAATATCGATATTTCAAAAGACTGCATCCCTAACTGTAAGGCTTGTGCTATAGGACACTAGGGTAACGGATAGAATACATATATTGTACATATATAAGTATGTTTATACATATTAGAAATACATATTAAACATCCATGACTGAAGTACAAATGCTCGTATTTATCACACAAACGTCTGCCCCCACCGGGATTCGTACCCATAAAATGGCATCACCATGAAACCCGGCGTATAATGGTAGCCATACACACTACGAGAAAGCGTTACGATTAGACTGTACCGTCCGAACGGTACCGATAAATCGTAGCGTGTATGTTATAAAACTGCACAGTTTCCTATACGTACGCCACGTACGATAAACTGTTCCGTTCGAACTGTACAGTCTGATCGTAACGATTTCTCGTAGTGTGTATGGCTACCATAAACCACTCGGTCACGGAGGTCGTCGTAAATAATTAATTTAAATATTAGTAACCGACGGATATCAAATTCATACAGCCTTGCCTTTATATTTTCGTCTTTTTTTATTAGAATGAGAATGTAAGACGACAACCAGCAAAGATGAAGTCACGCAAAAATCTCCTTGTTCATAGACAATGGCATGATAAATCGTAATTACCATTCCGCGGTTGCAAAAACATCAAAGGTGTAGTTTGAGAGTAAAAAGTGTGTAAATATCTCTCAAATAGTCGCAATAGGGATGACGACTAACTTTTTTTCTTCGTTTATCAGGTAGATTATCAAAAAGTATTGGACACGTATTTTTTCACATAATATAAACATTGCAGAGATATATTGATTTGAAAAGTCGCATGACGTCACGTTTTGGTACAATTTTCACTTAAAAGTGACGTCACGAGCCCCTACTCCCAAACTTTGACGCGCTATAACTTAGTCATTTTTTGTTTGATTGCCCAAAGAAAAAATACGTGTCCATTATTTTTTGATCATCTAACTGACGGACTAAATAGAATTTCGTTTACTGTACCCCGTCATCACCCCTATTACAACTTTTAACATAATTATAAAGAAATCATTGTAACATCTGAGATTTTATGAAATAAATTATTATTAAAATTTAATATTCGATAATATATTATAATAATAATTATATTATAATATGATAATAAAAAAATTCAATACTGTTTACGATTTTTTCGGGTTTCTTGCCTAACTCGTAAACATGAAATAATATTATAATGTTTAAAACTTGCATGGTTACTAACATTATAGTAATATATGTTATTAACGGGATTGTTACCATGTACCTTGTTTTTAGCGAGTTTACTCAAATTGTCGAGTGTCTGGAATCCTGTGATTAGTATGTGTAAAAACCGAAAAAATCAAAAAAAGTATCGTGTGGCGATGAGATACTGTAAGTGTTGTGGGTCGGGAACAGTTTCGAGTGAATAGTGAGAATGTGAACAGTGGTTCGAGTATCGAACGCAATAAAAGACTTCGTCGGAGGGTAGACCGATATGTCTGCCAATAACAGCCTACCCGCAATTACTTCAGTTACTCCGTGATCATGGCGCTTGCAACAGTGCCGAAATAACGGAAACTCGCTAAAAACAAGGTACATGGTAACAATCCCGTTAATAACATATATAACTACTAGCAAACCAGTGAACCAAATGTTCACCAAAACCTGATTTAAAAAAATTGTATTTAATTAATTGAGAACTTCGGAGATTTTGTGTGGTTTCGTTTGAAATAGAAATCACGTGATTTCTCGAAAACCGGAAGTGCTACGTTACTCAAATCCGGTTTGTAGTCTTATCAGACTATTTTTAACTTATAACTTAAATATTCTCTTTATCTATCTTTTACGGTTTGGCCGCTGAAACAGCACCATAGACGGACGGACGGACTTGTCTACTAGATAAGAGATAATGAAATAATATTTTATGTATGAAAATCATTTCTCTAGTGATAAAAACAGGGAGGAATCAGTCGAGAACGTTTGTATGGAAAAACATTGCCCGCCTCCCCTCTTAACATCAGGTGCGATTGCGGTCAAACGCACTCAAATCATTTATAAAAAATAAAAAAACGAGCGAGCCTTACAGTAGTCGCGTATGATGTGTAACATTTGAATCCTCACCTTATATTAGTAAAACAAGAAATAAAACCTACTACAAAAGGAATAAGCCATTTGAACATAATGTTCTAAATTCAAATCAAATAGCGCGTGCTTCCGCGACTTCCTGTTACACACTTCCGTCCCATTTCACGAAATCACTCCCACAAATTGCAGGAAAGCGAGAGGAAAGATGTTACACATCAAAAAATGCAACTTACAGTGCGTGCTAACTTTAGGGCTGGGCCAATAAGTGTGTTTAGGAAAATTTACACCACCAGTTGGCGCCACTGTGACGTGGGGTTTTTGGTTTAACGTTTTGGTGCGAACATGGAGGTAAGAGAGAAGGAGAAAATAGTGCCCCAGAAATATGGACAAAATAAGTGAGCCGCTGCGATCGCTAAGTTGTCTCAATAAAAGCGTCAATGCCGCGAAGAAAATTTGCACATTAATTCAACTAACTTCATCTACTGGTACTCATTAAAAGCTAACTTCACAGATGCTACTTACCGACGGCAGCGCTGCTGGTGGCTGAAAAATTAACTATAAATTCTAAAAATTTTCACGGACAGGCGGGCTAATGCTTAATACGTAGCGATCATTCTCCTTCTCTCTAACCTTCATGGTGCGAACTGATCGAACGAGCATTTAAATTGATCCATAGACTATGACGTCATACGTGATTTGTTTGATGAGTAGACCTTTCGTCTCAGTGCTGCCACCTGGCGCCCGTCATTCCAGAAAACCCTCATTAGCGTGAGTGTTAGAAATATTTCTTACCGGCGACGTCGTCTGTATGGACATATTGGTATCCCAACCCATACATATCTCCAGCCCCCTTTTCATTGACCTAAAGGTTTATTTCTGGCAACAAAAAACCATCCTATGTCCTCTTCCTGGATTCAAACTACATCTATACTAAATATCATCTAAATCGGTTCAGCGGTTTAAGCGTGAAGAAGAGGCAACAGAAAGATACACTTTCTCATTCATGACGTTAGTATGGATTATTTTTTAATTATAATTTTAATTTATCCATGCTATAATAAACACCTTTATTCCCCACAGGATTTCTTGAATAGAACACGGTATAGAGATCATATGAAGTACAGCCATGAAGGCATGGAAAAGGTAAAGAACAAGTTGTGCAATATTTGTGGACGAGGTTTCGCGGTAAGTAGATGAAACGAAACGCAACCATAGTGATGTTGAGTCATCGATAGTTTTATTATCGATACAGTGTAACCTTAAGTGCGGATAAAAATATATATTTTTACACTCACACCAATTAGCCTAGCCCCAAAGTAAGCACTGTAAGGCTTGTGTTATGGGATGCTACGGTAACGGATAGAATACATATACTGTACAAATATAAGTATATTTATATAGAAATACATATTAAACATCCATGACTGGAGTACAAATGCTCGTATTCATCATACAAACATCTGCCCCCACCGGGATTCGAACCCGGGACCTCTCGAGTCGGCGACACCATGAAACCCGGCGTACAAACCACTCGGCGAAGGAGGTCGTCAAATAATCTTTCAAGTCAAGTCTTTATTTGATATCAGTCCACCCTTTTTATTATCTATAGAGCATGATATGAACAATATCACTATCACATTTCGTTAAAATTTGAGAATCATACCAAATCGTTTTTTTATCAAAGTCTTATTCTTATATTAAAGTTAGATTTTTTCTTATTTGTTAAATAGATAAGAGCATAATAGGGTATTTGACAAGTTTTAGGCAACGATCTCACGTTATTGACTAATGTTTATGGAATCCGTAAAAAGTGGATATGCATCATTCTGTTGTGTATTTCAGTAAAAATAACCAAATCAAAAACTCTGAGGATGTAATGTTACTTTTCCTACAAATAGCGAGCGGATACGAAGTAAAACACCGTAGAAGAAAAACAATTTGTATACTGATAATAACTATCGAGATATTAACAAATATTTGTTTTGGAAAAGACGGAAGAACGAGTGACGTGGAGTTGTGTGCAAGGCGATTCGTAGCACACTGCGCTGCCGGCCAAGCGACTGGGAGCTAGGGATGGACGTTTTTAGAATAACGATGCGCGATAACGATGCCAGGTTCGGATGCGCGCATCCGATGCGACTGGATGCCGTTGCCATCTGCCATCTAGTTTTTGTCAACGTTACCATAGCAACAGTGCCACAAACTTATCTGTGCCGGTGGAGATGTCGCTAGCAGTGAACAAATATGTCATAAAAAGGTCAAAATGCTGTGGATAAATTGTAGTTCAAATTTTTGCCACCGGCATACAGAAAAGTTTGTTGCTATAGTAACGATGACAAAAACTAGATGGCATCGGCATCCATTAACGGCATCCAGTCGTATCGGATGCGCGCATCCAAACCTGGCATCCTGCCTGCGTTCAAAACCTACGCTCTGAGTGAATTTTTTTTTGTAATAATTTTGCCAGCATTCAATCTTTTCAGATAACATACCGAAAAGTAAATAAATGGTTTTCGATTACATTTTCAAGTCCTGATTCAAGGAATCGAAGAGACACACCCACACAAAACACGCATCTGTAGAAATTCATATTGCATCGTATCCTGTGATGTATCACAGGATACGATAGCTTGTAAGCTATCGACATTCAGTTGACATCGATGCGATGCCGGCATCCGATGCTAATTATCTGATACCGATGCGCATCGATCTCAAAAATATCAAAAAACGCCCATCTCTACTGGGAGCCGGTTCCAGGCCGGTTCGCGTCTCCCGCATACCGCGCCCCGCGGCATACGCGTTCGTGACGTAGCCGCTGTTAGTGATGAGGGCACGACGACGCGTAGTGATGTGCCACAACTCCATTTTCAAGTTGCCGCGAAAACGTTTCTCTGGACAATATGGCGTCTCACTAGTGTGTGACGTCACACGACTGTTATTAAACGTCAAACGATACAATATAATGTCACTAACCGGAAATTTACTTGTGTGTGACGTCATTTTAGGCTCCGCCAATCCCTAGCGTTTTGGGTCACGTGACAATAGATAAGAAACCTATGAACTTTTTCGAGGGCTTTTTGTAAAATTATGAAATTTTTTTTTGTAAAAATAGTAAAAACCCCTGCCAATTTTCAATCTCAACACAGATGCTAACAATTGGCACTTTATTTTTAATACTGTCAAATACCCGATTATCGTTGTGATCTTTGAAGCAGCTAGTAAAAACTAGTTAACAAATATTTAGAAGCTCGATGGCGCAAGTGGTTAGCACGCCCGGCTGCGATCGTTGAAGTTAAGCAACTTTCGCAGTGGTCGGTCTTTGGATGGGATGAACCAAATTTACTATCTCTTTTAAAAACTCGATTTTAGATTAGTTTAATTTAGCCTTCCAAAGCATGGAGGACCATTGGGTTAAGCCGTTGGTCCCGGCTGCATCCCCAATCGTTTATAATAATATTTCCAACACACACACCAATTAGCCTAGCCCCAAAGTAAGGCTTCTATAAGGTGTGTTATGGGATACTAGGGTAACGGATAGAATACATTTACCGTCCATATATATGTATATTATTATAGAAATGCATATTAAACATCCATGACTGCCAGTGCCGTCTTTGACCTATTGGAGGCCCTGGGCATATTAGGATAATGGGGCCCCTATTCCTGGGGACTTCCGTTTGGTAATTTAACAGGAACTGGGGGCCCTGGGCACTTGCCCAAAGTGCCCACTGGGAAAGACGGGTCTGATGACTGCAGTACAAATGTTAGCATCTTAGCACCCACCAATCCGCATAGGGCCCGCGTGGTGGGTCATGGCCCAATCTCCCTATTCAATTCATAGGGAAGGCCTGTGCCCCCGCAGTGGGGACATTAATAGGCTGATGATGAAATATTAATGGGCCTGTCTGTATTTGTAGAGTACCATGTCAGAATGGTCTCCAGTTTAATAAGTATATGTATTCTATCCGTTACCCTAGTATCACATAACACAAGCTGATTATTTGTGTGAGTGTTTGAAATGTTTATAAAATTTATTTATTATTTTTTCCGTCACAGGCGAACAGAACTCTAGTGAATCACATACGCACACATTCTGGAGAGCGACCGTTCGAATGCGAATATTGCAACGCGAGGTTCTCGCAAAAACATGCCATGCAATCACACGTCAATTATGTGCATTTGAAGAAATCGAAGCGAATTGTTGGCAACAGCGCGCGAGACACCGCTATAAAGAAGAGCGAGATAGCTATATAAGTGAAGTGCCAGGATGTTACGGCCAAGGAACTTATATACTAACTGGAATGCTTACGCGACCCTCAAAATCGTTCCAAGAGCATAGCTGAGTCGGTGGTATCTGTCTCGTTCTAGTAGTGTGCCCAAACAGTTGCAAGAGAGGGACAGATTCCACTTTCGTCGAGTCGCGCTAGGAGTATTTTTCCCTTTTATGAGATACAAACAAAAATGGACTTTATGTATCAGTTCTTAGAGTTCATTTTTTTAGTACCAGATAAAATATAATATAATATATTGTTTTAAACTTTCATGGTCACTAACATTATAGTAATATAAGTTATTTACGGGATTGTTACCATGTACCTTGTTTTTAGCGAGTTTCCGATATTTCGGCACTGTTGCAAGCGCCATGATCACGGAGTAACTGAAGTAATTGCGGGTAGGCTGTTATAGGCAGACATATCGGTCTACCCTCCGACGAAGTCTTTTATTGCGACCCGTACCACTGTTCACATTCTCACTATTCACTCGAAACTGTTCTCGACACACAACACTTACAGTATCGGATCGCGACACGACACTTTTTTTGATTATTTCCGGTTTTACACATACGAACCACAGGATACCAGACACTCGACAATTTAAACCCGTCCTCACGATTGAAATTTTTATGTTTTGTTATTTCAATCGCTTCCCTGACCAATCTTGGTATGTAGTGGCGTTCTGTCGAGATAATCTGTGGGTTATGAAACTCAATCCAGTGGTTAGAACCAGAATCAATCAAATGTTCCGCGATGGCTGATTTCTGCGTATCGTTGTTCTTGATTGCTTTTATGTGTTCCCTCATTCGGCATGATACTGTTCGCTTTGTTTGGCCAATGTACGAACTGCCACAGCTGCAATCGATCTTATAGACACCAGGTTTCTCCAAGGGGAAGTTGTCTTTAGGAGACCGTAGGTATTGTGAAACCTTTCGCACAGGAGTGAAGACAGCGTTTAGTGAGTACTTATTCAGTATGTTTGAGATCTTGTCAGTCACTCCTTTGACGTATGGTAAATAAACAGGTTGTCTGTCTACTACTCGACAGAACGCCACTACATACCAAGATTGGTCAGGGAAGCGATTGAAATAACAAAACATAAAAATTTCAATCGTGAGGACGGGTTTAAATTGTCGAGTGTCTGGAATCCTGTGGTTCGTATGTGTAAAACCGGAAATAATCAAAAAAGTGTCGTGTCGCGATCCGATACTGTAAGTGTTGTGTGTCGAGAACAGTTTCGAGTGAATAGTGAGAATGTGAACAGTGGTACGGGTCGCAATAAAAGACTTCGTCGGAGGGTAGACCGATATGTCTGCCAATAACAGCCTACCCGCAATTACTTCAGTTACTCCGTGATCATGGCGCTTGCAACAGTGCCGAAATATCGGAAACTCGCTAAAAACAAGGTACATGGTAACAATCCCGTTAATAACTTATATTACTATAATATAATATAAGTTCCTTGGTTATGGCTAATAGGGGCATGCAAATGCTGGCGGAACTAAGCGGTAATTAGTGAAGTGTAAAAGCGATGCCGCTATACCAGCGAGGGAGACAGCTATATAAAATAGCATCTCATTTTTTTATGTAAATATGAAGAAAGCGACTAGCAACTGTTGGCATCATAGAGGTATAAGAATAGAGTGGGGAAGGCGGCTCTAAAAGTGTCCGTCTAGTAGAAAGAGACAGAAGATGAGAGACATCTAGCTATCTCTCTCTCTTGTGACGCATGGCATCCAATGGCATCACATAGAAATAGTATGATGATTAAGGTTGCCAATGTGCATGCGCGATTAGAGAGAGAAAGCTAGCAGTCTCTCATCTTATTTCTCTTTCTATTAGACGGACACTTCCACTTGTAATAGAGTTTATATCTCCCCTACTCTATTCTTATACCTCTATGGTTGGCATTGGGAATTCGGGACACAGTTGTACGAAATGAAGACATAGCGATTTTAGAAGAGTACGAAAAATCTCTTGCAATAAGGGAGGCAGCTGTTATAAGTGCAATATTTATTTGACTATTTAATGTAAATATTTATTTAGTAAATTACTCACAATCACAACTGTTGGCAGAAGTGGGCGGGATATCGCTATACACGTGAGCGAGACAGCGGTATCAGTAAAGAGCGAGAGAGCTGCATAATTGCACTTTTTGTTAAGCTGTTTTATTGTAAGTTCAGCATTAAATAAAGAATACTGAAGCCGTTTTCAGCTTCTACAAAGTAATAATCCTAGAAAGTGGTCTTGAATCTGGGATGATTTACTCAACTTAAAACTAAATTTAACATCAGTCTCTCCTTTTCATTCTGTATAGAGAATGACAAGGATACACTGTTGTCAAAAAGTTTAGGTTTAGAGAGTCATGCCAGAATTGACACCAATATCTTACTATCTTATGATCTGTTAATAATAAATGATTTTTATGCTTATATTTTCATGTTTTTATTTACTTCTTACCATAAACTACTACTTCTAAATATAAACTTCTTTACGCACGTTTGACTTGGGGAGTAAGCTGGCGAACGCGTTACGAAAAGTATGATCGGGCGAGGCGAACGGGAGATGAGCGCCGTAGTGGTAGTAGTGGAGGCACCACTGTGTGGTGAATAAAGTACTGTCAAGCGCGAACTGGCATTATTCATAATTCTGCAAATTTTTTAAATAGGGAGATCGGGCCATGACTTACAATGCGGGCCCAGTGAGGATTGGTGGGTGCTAACAACTGCGGATTTAAGTTGAACCAACAACTTAACGTGCCCTTCGAACAATAGATAATTAGGCTTTATTAGATAATTTAGTCTGCCATCGTGAAAGTTAAGGAACTTTCACGATCTCTGACCAAATTCGCTTACCATTTGAGCTATCGAGATGTTCATGTTCGAATTAATATTTGATATATCCAGAGAATCAAAGTCAATGGAGGTACAAATTTTCAATAATTAAAATGAATTTTGAAAATAGTTAAGTACATATTTGAAATACATAATGAAAATAAATATTCATTATATTAATGTGTTGCTTTGTATTACATTTCAAAATGTATTGGTAGTAAATCTTTGATCTGGGTTAAACATAATCACGAGTTAATGTCAAATTGAAAACTAATTCATTTTCATATCGATAATCTAAACCAATTCTTGTCGCTTCTCTAGACACACTACACATGCTCATTGACAGCGGCACACAGTAAAAGGCCACGCTTTTTTTTGTGAAATGCTCCATTCATTTGATACTCTTACTTACTTACCATGTTTATGGTTCATAGGCTGCTGGTCTGACCTTATCTGTGGTCTGTTCCATAGAGAAAGGAACGGATCACGTTTTTTTATATCTTCACCTGTGGTTTTTTTTTCTGTAATTTGTGCATGGAATTAATTTCTACGGGTGCGGCCAGAGTGCACTCAGATTCAGATTCTGAAAACAAGCGCGAGAAATAAACAGTGTAGTCTAAGGGTGCGGCCAGAGTGCACTCAGATTCAGACTCAGATTCAGATTTCGAAAACAAGCGCGAGAAATAAACAGTGTAGTCTAAGCACGTTGCCTGATTTTTCTCGCGCTTTGTTTTCTGAGTCTGAATCAGAATCTGAATCAGGAGTGCACTCTGGCCGTACCCTTCGACTACACTGTTTATTTCTCGCGCTTGTTTTCAGAATCTGAATCTGAGTGCACTCTGGCCGCACCCTAAGCAGGTTGCCTGCTTTTTCTCGCGCTTTGTTTTCTGAGTCTGAATCTGAATCTGAATCAGGAGTGCACTCTGGCCGTCTCGACTACACTGTTTATTTCTCGCGGTTGTTTTCAGAATCTGAATCTGAATCTGAGTGCACTCTGGCCGCACCCTATTTCTGTAAAGATTGGGCATGGGCGTTTTCGGTTGTGATCGCAAACGGATATTTTATCCGATTTTATAATTTAAATATAATAAATTTGCATATAAGGCATTAAAGATTAAATAAATATAAGTAAAAAATAAAATAAAAATAATTAAAGTTAAAAATCCAGATTTTAGATAAGTATCTAAATTCAGATGTGTCTAGCTTTGCCAAGTCACTACTTCGTGTTGATTTGGTTTTATTATCTATTATAGTTGTTGTAGTAAACAAACACATACTAAGCTATAAGCCAAAATACATCACCTCATCGCCTAGTCTCCCAAATATAGTCTTTAAATACTGTGTCGTAGAACTATATTGATCGCATATCCAAACGTAAATCGAACTTCCGAAATTCGCGCCATCTCTTTTACTCCGCTTTTTTACGAACTCCGAACTTCGTTTTCGAATACGATTTACGTTTGGATACGCACACACAGTACGTTTGGTGTTATTAGATCGTTCGCGTTTTGGTTCGGTTAGATATCTGCTAATCGGATTTTCTTGTTGAGAAATTGATGCGGAATCGATTTGAGTTTGAAATCGGATTTTAGAATCGTTTTTATATATATTCGACAATAAAGACATAATCTCCTTCTAGAAGACCAAAATTATTGTCGGTATTGCAATTTCAAAAGCATGGAACTTTTACAGCATCTTATCTTAGAATGTCCTACCTTCAATATACAGAGAATCTTATTGATAGATGGCTTAATCTTTATATATATAATTCTTCTGTGAGTGTGTATGTCACTGAACTTCTCTTAAACGACTGGACCGATTTTGATGAAATTTTTTGTGTGTGTTCAAGGGGATCTGAGAATGGTTTAGATTCACAATTTTGTCCGCTGGACAACCCCTATTTTTTTAGGGCGGTACGAAGTTCGCTGGGTCAGCTAGCAGAGATATATAATAACTGCAGAACACCCAGCCAATTGCCATCTATCATACAAAATACTAATACATAATATCTTAAATTATTTGAATATGTAATGAATTCTTTCGAAGACATTTAAATTAATGAAATTAACTTATGAATGGCCGAAATGGCGAAAATCACAGCGGTAAAATAAAATAAAACTTAATAATTTGTATTTGTTTCTTAAGTTTTCACGCACATCAGTCATTAAATAAATTAGTTTTAACGGGTTAATGCACGAACTTCATTTATTTATTGACGTTTCGCAGCCTTTTCAGGTCTCCATCGTTAGAATAATGATTTTTGATTTACTTCGTCGAGCTACCTTCGAAAGACTTTTTTAAGCGTACGATTATTTCATTCATTAGAAGATTTTTAAAACTTTATTGTCTATGTACAGAGGCGGCGTAAGGCATGGGCGACGTGGGCCACCGCCTACAGCCTCGCGATAAAGGGGGCCTCGCGCCTCAAAAATTTTTATGCATTGCATTTAAGCGAATTTCTTTTTTTTTTAATATTTTGCAAAATCCGCTTCCGGTCGCCACAG